TCAACACTAACCAGTACAAATATGGGTATTGCTGAGTGCAATGAATTTATTCAACATAATATAACAGACTGAGTGCGTTCCTCACGTACACAGCCACTCCGCCGGAAAATCTTCCAGAGTTTTTCAATCTCCTGGCAGGTGATACAGAACAAATGAAGTCTGGGAAAATATTTCTAACCCTGTCAGTGACAGGTTGCATATTTCTGACAAAAGTTAAAAAAGTCTGTGTCTTGAATGTGTGAATGAATGCCTTGCCCATTCCAAGCGCAGACATTTATGTTAAATGTCGAGCTGAGAGGCGTTGTCTGTTGACGGGGCAGTTGACGTGACTCGGGCTGGTACTTCAGTGGTCTTCGTAGTCTGAAGGAGAAGAAAGAGAAGGGCGAGAAGAAGAGCCTTCGGCGCGTCTCCCTTCACCCCTCCCCTGGGGGCCGGGTGGGCTATCCGCCCTGTCCGCAGGAGAATGGTGACGGGGTCTGCTACGGGCCGGGTGGGCTATCCGCCCTGTCTGCAGGAGAATGGTGACGGGGTCTGCTACGGGTCGATGAGTTTTTATCTCGTTTACTGCCCACCCGTTGTAATCCCCCATTACTGTTTAATATAAAAATATCATCACCTATGATGAGCTTGTCATAAGATAAGTAGGCTGTCTTGTCGTCACCTCTAGCGTCCAGCATGGGGTGGGTGAGTCCGGCTCTGGTCTGTCGTGTCTTCACCTCTAGCCTCCAGCATGTGGTGGATGAGTCCGGCTCTGGTCTGTCGTGTCTTCACCTCTAGCCTCCAGCATGTGGTTGATGAGTCCGGCTCTGGTCTGTCGTGTCTTCACCTCTAGCCTCCAGCATGTGGTGGATGAGTCCGGCTCTGGTCTGTCGTGTCTTCACCTCTAGCCTCCAGCATGTGGTGGATGAGTCCGGCTCTAGTCTGTCTTGTCTTCACCTCTAGCCTCCAGCATGTGGTGGATGAGTCCGGCTCTAGTCTGTCTTGTCTTCACCTCTAGCCTCCAGCATGTGGTGGATGAGTCCGGCTCTAGTCTGTCTTGTCTTCACCTCTAGCCTCCAGCATGTGGTGGATGAGTCCGGCTCTGGTCTGTCGTGTCTTCACCTCTAGCGTCTAGCATGTGGTGGATGAGTCCGGCTCTGGTCTGTCGTGTCTTCACCTCTAGCGTCCAGCATGGGGTGGGTGAGTCCGGCTCTGGTCTGTCGTGTCTTCACCTCTAGCGTCCAGCATGTGGTGGATGAGTCCGGCTCTGGTCTGTCGTGTCTTCACCTCTAGCGTCCAGCATGTGAAGGGTGAGTCCGGCTCTAGTCTGTCGTGTCTTCACCTCTAGCCTCCAGCATGTGGTGGATGAGTCCGGCTCTAGTCTGTCGTGTCTTCACCTCTAGCGTCCAGCATGTGGTGGATGAGTCCGGCTCTGGTCTGTCGTGTCTTCAATGTGTAGGCTTCTCCAACTCGTAGGGTCTCATTCTTCTTGAACTTATCTCTAACACTCTGAATTTGTCTTTGTAAGAGAGGAATTTGCATATAATAGGTTTTGATTTATTTTTGCTTTTTAAACGGTGTGCGCCTGCATAAGGAATTCAATCAAAAGGAATTGAACCTGCATCCTCGATTAATATGGGAAGTATCAACCGATTCTAAGGAAAGTCTTTGCATCAGTGTCGACCATTTGATAATGGAGATAGGGGTGGATGAGGTGCTATCGAAAAACATGTATTATACCAGAAAATGCTTGAATAAAAATGCTTCAGGCTGTTGAAAAAAAAGGATTAGTCTGCCCCGAGTCGCAATAAACAATTTCAAATGGCCGGTACCACATAAGAAATTAGATTACTATGTCAACACTTACCAGTACAAATATGGGTATTGCTGAGTGCGGCGTTAAACAACAAACAAAACAAAACTATCGGGGGCGAGCTAACGTTTGAAGATGGACGGAGCGATACGCAACGACATTGTTGTTATTTTCACGTTTAGTTCAAAATACTCCCAGAAATAAATAATGGTTCACGGTAAACGCGATTGTATCGGTTCCAATTCCGCCTGTCGTTTGTGAGATACACAGATGTTTTTGATGCACTAATGTACTGAAAATACTGACCCTCCCCATTGCTTGGCATATTTTTTGTTGACCCTCCCCATGACCTTGAAATGAAAATAAGCAACCAATATTTAACATTATGTCAAACAATTTACATGTCATTTTAATTGGGGATTTTAATACAAAGACAAATAACCTATGTGATACGAAATTCTTGACGAACACATACTAGTAATTGAAGAATTTGATTTGGATATTGATGAAATGAGATCAAAACTTAATCCTGAATCTGTGCTCGATGAACTTGGGTTGCCACGTGTGAGAGCAATACGGGACAAAACAAGAATATATAACTTTGACTTTAAACTTATTGAAATCTGTAAAATTTTAGATCTGTTTATCGGTAATGTCAGTCTAGGAAATAATAAAATGATAGGTAAAACAGCATGTAAAGCTAAAAGTGTTCTCGATTATGTTATTGTTTCGCAAATGTGCCTTCCGCTCTTTTCTGATTTAAATGATATTGAGCACCCACCCCTCTACTCATACGTGCCCACTCACCTTTACATTTAGCGCTGTTATACCTCTTGTAAGTAATCCATGTAAAGGCGTATAAATGCCGATAACCAACCTAAAAGTTACAACCTTGATAAATCGGATATATACGTAAAGAATATAAATGTTGAACAGATAATAGAATCTTGAAGACACGATCAGGTCACGATCAGGTCACGGCGACCCGCCGAGTGTAAACAGATTTGTTTTCGCTGCACGAGCAACATTCGGAGTATCCAGTGTTAAATACAGGCAACTTAAGAAAGAATACCCATTGGTTCGGACGATCTAAAACCAAGGAGTTGACACCCTACGCACGTGTGTGTTTGTCTTCTGCGTGCGATACGTGCAAACTATAGGATGTGTTTAAGTGTAAAGTTATACAGACATTAACGTTCTTGAATGGGATGTTTGTCTTCCAACACTTCTTTGTCCTAATACTTTGTGAAGCCCATGTCTGGTGTCCCCGTCGTGATATTGCTGGAACATTGCTAAAAGTGGCGTAAAACCATACTCACTCACTCACTCCTAATACTTGGTATTGACATTCATGATCCCCTACTTTTTTGTAAGAATATATACAAATATATCGACAAAGCTACTGCAATTAAATTACAGGCAGAAGTATTTTCTGTAGAGAAAGGTCTGTAACTTGCTCTTGAAAGAGTCCAGACAAGTTGATAGTCTCAGTTGAGTTGCAAATGCTTCCAGAGAACTGCAGCTCCATAGCTAAAGGATCTTCGACCAAAAGATTTCAGGTTTTACCTTGGGTCAGTAAGATGTTGGTCAGCTGATCGTAAGGCTCAAGATGGTGAGTGTGTTGTCAGTAGGTCAAACAGGTGTTCTGGGGTAGTCATGTTTCGGAGGGACAAATCGATGTGCTGCTGCCTTTGTATATGGACATCCTCCCGAGGCAAGGGAGTTAACTGACTGTAAAAGTCCAGTTTCCACCCTTGCCGAACTAGGCTGCAATTATGGATTAACGAATCTACAGTCAAGTCCCGTTAATCCGACATTGTTGGTTGCATGTGATTATGTCGGATTAACGAGTATGTCGGATAAACGAAATTAACTTGTATCAACGTGCGTGATCGAAAATCGGACAACTACGCGAAAGATAACGATACAAACACGTGATAATAAAAAAAATATAAATGAAATATTCATATTGTTATGTTACATTGTTAACGGAATATGTTGTCTAATCATGCAACTTCTAAAGCTCAACACAAAACAACTGTTACGAACTGTATATGACTTATTCAAAATACTTTTAAAAGCATAGTCTGGAATAGTATGGAAGCCGATTGTCGGATTAACGAGTGTCGGATTAACGAGACTTGACTGTATACAGTCCAATCAAAATCACATAACGAAATCGACATCCGACTGCAGGATTTGCCAAAGATATGTACCCTCAACAGATATTTTCCATTTTTTAAAATGTTTTTAATCAATGTGCTTACGTGATTTCAGGCACGAGGTAAGAGTGAGTGAGTGAGTGAGTGAGTGAGTGAGTGAGTGAGTGAGTGAGTGAGTGAGTGAGCGAGCGAGCGTACAGGGGCGGACTCAGTTCATCATTGTTCATAGCTATTCTTGCCACATCACTGTAGGGCACACCAAGGAGCAGCTTCCCACTTTGTACCCATGTGGAGAACTGAACCTGTGCATTGTGTGTGACGAGTGGACACAAGGTGGCTTCCCCGCTCCAGGTATGTGATGTTCATTTGTTGTTAAATGCCGCACTCAGCAATATTCCAGCTATGTGGCCGCAGTCTGTAATTAATTAAATCTGGACCACACAATCCAGTGACTGAGCATCTCAGCAATTGGACCACCTGATCCCAGCATTGACTCCTAGAGTGAGTGAGTGTTGTTTTATGTCGCTTTTAGCAATATTCCAGCAATATCACAACGGGGGACACCAGAAATGGGCTTCACACATTCTACCCATGGGGAATCGAACCCGGGACTTCAGCATGACGAGCAAATGCTTTAACCACGAGGCTACCCCACCGCCCTGGGCTGCTAAAGGTCAATTCTAACCAGAATCATGGGAGGTATGTGATGAAGAACAACAACAGTCAGGGTATATGAATACATTCGGAAATTAGACACATTCAACCAGTAACAAACTCTGTGATGGGCACTGAGATGTTGAAATGAGTAACTGAATGTTTTTGAAGACATAGATTGCAGGATCAAAAGTATTTCATGAGAGTATGAATGAAATGAAGACTGGACCAGCCAAATCAGTGGTTGACAGTAAAAGGGTGATTCGTCTCCATGTGACACACTCAACAGTTTGCTTGGCCACAAGACTCAATTTTGCCTGTTTTTTAGGACAAGTTTATTTTGATACTGGTGATTCGTTGAATATATGAATAAATCATGTGATCTCCGTGATTTACCTCTCTCCACGAGGCGAACTGCTTCCAACATGTAGGGCACCAGGAGACGATTCACAATGAATCCAGCTGTGTCCTGAAATAGAACATATTATCAATAGTAGAGTGCAAGCTTTTGCCGGACACAAAACATTGCATCCCATCCATAACAGGCTCTAGACCACAGGTCACAGTGACCTTCTAATACTGTAAGAATTTCATAACTTGTCAAAAAGAACTATTCTTTAGAAAAGGCATTCTCGTGATAAGGGCAAACTTACTTTCCAAATCACGATCACTGTGACCTATATTCTTAAGTCTCTCATGATCTTCCCATCCAAGGTTGACATGTACCAAATTTCATTGAGGTTATGACCTTGAGAATAACCTTGTCCCTTGACATGACCAAGCAATGTGTCCACAAATAAGTCTGAGGATTCTAAAGGGGATATACCTGATATATCCCTGAGATGTCCAAGCACAAAGTTGGGCAGCACTTTTGAAAGATCCCCATTTACTAGAGACATCAATGGCCAATGTGTTATCAATAAACTGAACACACACATATTAATGTTCTTACAGTGAGTGATATGTCATGTTCTGAAGATCGTCTAACTTTCTTCAAGCAATCATCTGCTGTTAATTGTTTTGATATTTCATGTATTTAATTATTATGTGTCCATCATTATTTAATGTCCAAATGAGCACCCTACCTTGCAAGGTACCGAGACCTTGCCCATGGCCTTGCCAAACTCCATCAATGAGTTGAATGTCTCGTCATTTGTCTCTGATGTCCTGACAACCTGCAAACAAAAATACAAATTCCTCAAGTTAGTCACCAGTTCCATATGCAAGAGTTAGTTGGTTTTTTAATACATCTTTGAATGGGATTTCCGTTAAATCACGGCATGTCAGCTTGATGTTGAAGGAATACCTGAAGTGAGTCAGATCTTAGGTGTTTACCATTTTTGTTGAAACCCATGAGAACACGAGCAAGGTGAATCTAGGATTCTGACCCAAGATCATCATCTTCCTAAGGTAAGGGAGTTCACTAACTATAAAAGTCCAGTTTCCACCCTTGCCGAACTAGGCTGGAATTATGGAGTTGATCTTTTGGCTGGACTAACAAGTGTATGCATAGTCAAATCAAAATTGCGTTACGAAATCGACATCTGGTTGACATTGCAGATTTTGGGCAATTGATGGATTTGCAAAGCATGTGTACCGCCAGTTTAGCATCAACAAAAAAAGTCCAAATCCTTTCATATTTTTAATCAAGGTGCTCACGTGATTTGATGCACTTCACGAAGTAAGACCCTTTATATTAAAGTAAAGATCTCAGATCGTCTTCACTGGGTGCCGCCATATTGTTTGAAGCAAATGCAAGTGATATGAGAGGTGGAATCTGACTGGTCAATAGGAGAGACATATACGGGCATAACTCGTAATCACTACTGGTGGCGCTAAAATCAAGCCCAGAAATTCTAGCCTAGTTTGGCAAGGGTGGAAACTGGACTTTTTACAGTCAGTTACCTCCCTTGACTCAGGAAGAAGCAAGATCATAGGCTCCTGATACAATTGCTGTGATTTGTTTATCAGAAATGTTTTAATCTGGACAGATTTCAGTGTGTGCAAATACTGTCATGTGAAAAGCCACAGTTATAAGCACATCCATCACCTCTAAAGAGAGTACGACTGCATGCTATTAACAGTATACTAAAATACACTTTTCAAATATGTGTTGCAATATTTTCACTTTGATGAGTTTCATTATTTCTTGGAATGTCCTATTTTCAGTCGAGTAGAGAAATGTTTTCGCTCCCCTATTATTATACTAATCCTTCCATTGAAAAATTATCACAGCTTCTGTCATCAGCGAACCCTGCAGTAATTAAAAGTGTATCTTTATATCTGAAAAGAAACCTACCCAGATAAGCACCTTATATGTTTAGAAATAGAGTCCTGGATGCATTTTTGTATATGCAGCACTATGGGCTATTTGGCCTCAAATGCAAATAAAACATGAGACTTGTCACTAGGAAGTTACAGGACATTCTCTACTCGTGACTTACCAATTTGTAATCAGTTTGAGATGTCCTGTCCCTAGTCCTCTATATTTAGAAATAGTGTACTATGTGGTGTCAAATGCAAATAAACTTTTCACTTAAGAAGGCAGAAAATCGGACCACAACACATAACTGTATCCAATCTCATTAAAATCAGATCTTAGTTTTCGCTACCGCTAAATAAAGATCTGAGGACATCCCATTACGGGTCACGTCAGAACAACCTTTCGCGAATTTTGACCCACCAATGAAATGACCGACAAGAAATCGACATTAGCCAATCAGAAGGCAGCTTTCTCGAGTTTTACGACACTAGTTTCAAACTGGTGACTACGCTTTGAAACATATTTTGAAGTATTCTCGAATAAAAAAAATAATTAAAACTGATAAGAAGAATATTCTAGAATGGCTTTTAGATGGCCTAGATTGTATGGATATAATCATAAAACCCTTAACTGTCGTTCGGAATACTCCGTGTTAATTATTTCATGGTTGCATGATTAGAAAACACATTTCGACTGTCACTTTCATGATCTGGTAAGCGACGCTCTGATTGGTTGGATGAAAGGTCGTTCTGACGTAACCCTTAATGGGATGTCCTCAGATCTTTGTTTAGCGACAGCGAGAACTAAGATCTGATTTTAATGAGATTGAACTGTATCACAATATATTACAATACAATTTTTGCTGCCAATACACAGCCCTGTAAGAGAGCCATGAAAAGCAATACTTTTGTACAATGGACTGAAAATCAAGAGCTCCAGTACAAGATGATCCAGTATGAAGACAAGCACATCCCACCTCCAGGAGCTTCATCATGGGAACTGGGTTGAAGTAGTGGAGTCCTCCGAACCGGTCCCTCCTCTGCGTTGATGCAGCGATATCGGTGATGGGGATGGATGAGGTGTTGCTTGTAAAGATGGTGTGTCTGAAAGAGGTGAAATGGGGGTTAACGTCACAGTCAATACTATTTCCCTCATATAGCAATTTATACAAATGTGTGCGGGGAGCTTTTACTAGTCCAGACTTATGCCGGTTTTATAGTTCTAGCCCACTGAGGTACCATGCTGCAGAGTAGCGACGTGATGAGCGAAAGCTTTAACCACTAGGCTACCCCACCACCCTACTTTTATTATAACTCCTCACAGATTAAGTACTAGTTAGCATTATTTCAACTGAATCAAGACACTATTTGCCTCTTAATTTTTCGCGATTTTTCAATATTTATAATGTCTAAATGCGGGCAGGTAACTTTGAAGATGGGCAGACAACATTTATAGATCACCTGCCCGACTGTCTTGTTGGTTTTAAAATCATTTCAAACACTGATGTGACCAAAGGTTGATGTGTGTACACAAACATTCAACTCGTAAAATCCATTTTCATCACTCTTAATAAATCCAGCTACCTGATTCACCAGTCGCTGTCACAAAAATCCCATACAAGTTGGACCAACATCGTCTGCTTGTTGTGTCGTCATTTACCCTGTTTGCATGTTGAGTTACCTTACCGAAACCACTGGCGGTTGTAATTAAAAGGCAGATCTGATATTGTCTCACATTCCTATTTCATCACTTGTGAACAGGTAAAATGATAAATTTGTTACATGTGTTACTAACAGGGTGTTGCAGGGTTTTACAAGGCTAACGTTTATGTAAACACCTCAACCATCAGTAACCATGAGTAATTTATGACACCTAGACTGACTAGCTAGCAAACATTATGAAATAATCTACGGCAGGTGCATGCAATTGTTGTTAGATGAGTGACGGTGGGTGAAACAAATACTGTTCTGGTTAATTAGCACTTATAAGCTACAAAAGATCAATCGATGTGGGATTGAGGGTGGAGGTGGGACCCTCCCCACTTGCCATACACATGACATACATAGAATCCATACCGGTATAATAATTACAAGACAGATCTCCCCACAACTAATCTAACGATCGCATATATACCGTACCCGGCTGGTGATAATATCCAATCAGCTTTCCGGCCGTGAATATTTAGGCTCCTCGTTAATATAATGACGTTTTTATGATTAGTTTGCGTTGTGACAAATACATACCATTAAGTCCGAGTTTTTAATTAAGCGCAACAGCGCTATGTTTACATGTTCACACTGATTTCCCTCGGTCTTCGTATTGTACATCGTACTGGCTAAATAATGATGTAAGAAACAAATGTGTAAATTTGTCGGTTTCTTGGCAACATATGATAATATAATGACAGTATATAACTAATCACCCATAAGGATCAAGCAATGTGTATGAACGCGGAGATAGCGTTTACGTTTCTTCAACGCTACATCGACTCTTGTGAAAACGTCTGATATCAAGGTTCCTTTTCCGTGGCCGTTACCGGTTATTACGAATATGAATTCTTCAAGCAATGACACATCGTCAGGAGACAACTTATTTCTGGGAGTGTCATACCTCATTGTGTCCGTTTTAGTAATAACGTCAAATAGTGTGGTCGTCATCGTCATTTTCAAGTCAAGGGAACTACATATGCCAACACTGTGGATGATTGCATTCATGGCCAGCTGGGACTTGGCCTTGGGTGTCTTCTGTCTTGTGTTTGTAGCACCATCAACATTTCTGAGCTATTTCCCATACCCGGATAGCCTTATTCCAGTAGCTGCGTGTGTGCTGGTGTTTATAGGGTGTCAGAACGGCTTCAATATCTGTATGGTTGTTGTGGATCGTTACCTAGCGATCCGTTTTCCAATGAAGTATCCAAGAATTGCCGTTACACGGAATTATCTTCTATTAGTTATTCTTTCTTTGATGCTCAACGTCTCTCACCTCCTCATTATGGTGTTCACGGTGACAAAGTTCTACTTGAACACTCTAATCTGGCTCCCATATGCTGATCAAAAATCTGCTGCGGTTACATTTATAACTGGTTGTGTTCTCATCATTCCGTTTGGTACTGTGATAGGATGTTCTGTGCCGGTGTATAAAAGCATCAAACACGCCAGTAAACGGATCACGTCGCAAGGCGCACAGTCGGCATCCAGCAAGGATGTCCTCAGATTTCCACTCATGGTGCTTCTGTGCGCTGCCGCATACTGTCTATCCTATATCCCAGTGATAGTGAACATATTCTGGAAGTTAATATATGGTCATGAAAATGTGAATGTCTTCAGATTTTCAATTTTTTCTTTGGTTAGTAATAGCCTGTGGAACGTATTCATCTATGTGGGAACCTATAAACCTTTCAAGGTGGCACTGACGCGCCTATTCTGCAAAGCGTACTACAGGCGTCAGAGACGAGCATCTATGTTCAACATGATCCAAACTAGACCTCCTCTTCGGGAACCTGCATTGTAGCAGGACCTATTGGACAGCATGTTTGTATGTTGGAAATTTATCAACGATGGTCTTGTGCCTTACTGCATATCAAGATACTGCAAACGTACATGTAGTCCGGGGACGGATAATATGGCCTTTCATTTTCACTAAATTCATGGACATATTTGAAAAATGTTTCGACCGATGATAATGTGCTGTCCTGCAACAAATCTTTCTATTGCATAAACTGTTTCCGGTTTAACAGACTATAGCATGTTGAGATATTTAGAGAAGAACAAGTTCATTGAGGCGTTCTCCCTGGATATCATTTCGGGACATTGAGCTCATTATATAATTTTTCTTGTTGTATGAGTAAATCATTTCAAACCACTTGTCATAAAAGTCAAGATGAAAATGTTACTTTGCCCATTTTCGAGTACATGTACAAGTGTTTGTACACATACCATCTGGAACTTAATAAATACCCAATGTTAAGGTTTTCACCTGTTTATGTCATGTGCGTTTATTTGTGTCAGTAATATACAGCTTAAGGGTGTTCGTTCGTCTACATAAAGAGTATTAATCATTTTACCCAAACTTTAAATGCCAAAACGAAATAAGAACGGGTTCGTTGTGTATTCTATTCAATTCATCTGTACGAGATAACTTATATTTATTACTTCAATGAAAATGCAAGGGGAATAATATAATATATTTCAGCACTCAATAACAAAGCAACTGATAATTATTGCATGTAGCACAAATGAAGTACTATAATATCAAGTCTCAAAATTAATATTACTTATGTACCTTATGTATATGGTGGATTCATTACGAGTGGTTTATTAATATAGTTTATGAATATTTGAAATATCAACCGATTCTAAGGAACGTTTTTGCATCAGTGTCGACCATTTGATAATATGGATAGGGGTGGATGAGGTGCTATCGAAAAACATGTATTATACCAGAAAATGCTTGAATAAAAATGCTTCAGGCTGTTGAAAAAAAGAAGAATACAGAGTATTCTTTAACTTATCTCTAGCACTTGAAAACACTCTGAATTTGTCTTTGTAAGAGAGGAATTTGCATATAATAGGTTTTGATTTATTTTTGCTTTTTAAACGGTGTGCGCCTGCATAAGGAATTCCATCAAAAGGAATTGAACCTGCATCCTCGATTAATATGGGAAGTATCAACCGATTCTAAGGTAAGTCTTTGCATCAGTGTCGACCATTTGATAATGGAGATAGGGGTGGATGAGGTGCTATCGAAAAACATGTATTATACCAGAAAATGCTGGAATAAAAATGCTTCAGGCTGTTGAAAAAAAGAAGAATACAGAGTCGCAAGATGTTTAGCCTAAAACAATATCAAATGGGCGGTCCCACATAAGAAATTAGAATACTATGTCAACACTAACCAGTACAAATATGGGTATTGCTGAGTGCAATGAATTTATTCAACATAATATAACAGTGCGTTCCTCACGTACACAGCCACTCCGCCGGAAAATCTTCCAGAGTTTTTCAATCTCCTGGCAGGTGATACAGAACAAATGAAGTCTGGGGAAATATTTCTAATCCTGTCAGTGACAGGTTGCATGGTCTCTATCAGTCAAAATATTTCATATTTCTGACAAAAGTTAAAAAAGTCTGTGTCTTGAATGTGTGAATGAATGCCTTGCACATTCCAAGCGCAGACATTTATGTTAAATGTCGAGCTGAGAGGCGTTGTCTGTTGACGGGGCAATTGACGTGACTCGGGCTGGTACTTCAGTGGGCCACGGCCGTCTTCTTAGTCTGAAGGAGAAGGGCGAGAAGAAGAGTCTTCGGCGCGTCTCCCTTCACCCCTCCCCTGGGGGCCGGGTGGGCTATCCGCCCTGTCCGCTGGAGAATGGTGACGGGGTCTGCTACGGGCCGGGTGGGCTATCCGCCCTGTCCGCTGGAGAATGGTGACGGGGTCTGCTACGGGTCGATGAGTTTTTATCTCGTTTACTGATCACCCGTTGTAATCCCCCATTACTGTCTAATATAAATATCATCGCCTATGATGAGCTTGTCATAAGATAAGTAGGCTGTCTTGTCGTCACCTCTAGCGTCCAGCATGGGGTGGGTGAGTCCGGCTCTAGTCTGTCGTGTCTTCAATGTGCAGGCTTCTCCCACTCGTAGGGTCTCATTCTTCTTGAACTTATCTCTAGCACTTGAAAACACTCTGAATTTGTCTTTGTAAGAGAGGAATTTGCATATAATAGGTTTTGATTTATTTTTGCTTTTTAAACGGTGTGCGCCTGCATAAGGAATTCCATCAAAAGGAATTGAACCTGCATCCTCGATTAATATGGGAAGTATCAACCGATTCTAAGGTAAGTCTTTGCCTCAGTGTCGACCATTTGATAATGGAGATAGGGGTGGATGAGGTGCTATCGAAAAACATGTATTATACCAGAAAATGCTTGAATAAAAATGCTTCAGGCTGTTGAAAAAAAGAAGAATTTGTCTGCCCCGAGTCGCAAGATGTTTAGCCTAAAACAATTTCAAATGGCCGGTACCACATAAGAAATTAGATTACTATGTCAACACTAACCAGTACAAATATGGGTATTGCTGCTGAGTGCGGCGTTAAACAACAAACAAAACAAAACTATCGGGGGCGAGCTAACGTTTAAAGATGGACGGAGCGATACGCAACGACATTGTTGTTATTTTCACGTTTAGTTCAAAATACTCCCAGAAATAAATAATGGTTCACGGTAAACGCGATTGTATCGGTTCCAATTCCGCCTGTCGTTTGTGAGATACACAGATGTTTTTGATGCACTAATGTACTGAAAATACTGACCCACCCCATTGCTTGGCATATTTTTTGTTGACCCTCCCCATGACCTTGAAATGAATATAAGCAACCAATATTTAACATTGTCAAACAATTTGCATGTCATTTTAATTGGGGATTTTAATACAAAGACAAATAACCTATGTGATTACGAAATTCTTGACGAACACATACTAGTAATTGAAGAATTTTATTTGGATATTGAAGAAAGGAGATCAAAACTTAATCCTGAATCTGTGCTCGATGAACTTGGGTTGCCACGTGTGACAGCAATACGGGACAAAACAAGAATATATAACTTTGACTTTAAACTTATTGAAATCTGTAAAATTTTAGATCTGTTTATCGGTAATGTCAGTCTAGGAAATAATAAAATGATAGGTAAAACAGCATGTAAAGCTAAAAGTGTTCTCGATTATGTTATTGTTTCGCAAATGTGCCTTCCGCTCTTTTCTGATTTAAATGATATTGAGCACCCACCCACCCATCCCTCTACTCACACGTGCCCACTCATCTTTACATTTAGCGCTGTTATACCTCTTGTAAGTAATCCATGTAAAGGCGTATAAATGCCGATAACAAACCTAAAAGTTACAACCTTGATAAATCGGATATATACGTAAAAAATATAAATGTTGAACAGATAATAGAATCTTGAAGACACGATCAGGTCACGATCAGGTCACGGCGACCCGCCGAGTGTAAACAGATTTGTTTTCGCTGCACGAGCAACATTCGGAGTATCCAGTGTTAAATACAGGCAACTTAAGAAAGAATACCCATTGGTTCGGACGATCTAAAACCAAGGAGTTTTGAAAGAGTCAAAATCAGGAATGACACCCTACGCACGTGTGTTTGTCTTCTGCGTGCGATACGTGCAAACTATAGGATGTGTTTAAGTGTAAAGTTATACAGACATTAACGTTCTTGAATGGGATGTTTGTCTTCCAACACGTCTTTGTCCTAATACTTTGTGAAGCCCATGTGTCCCCGCCGTGATATTGGTGGAACATTGCTAAAAGTGGCGTAAAACCATACTCACTCACTCACTCCTAATACTTGGTATTGACATTCATGATCCCCTTCTTTTTTGTAAGAGTATATACAAATATATCGACAAAGCTACTGCAATTAAATTACAGGCAGAAGTATTTTCTGTAGAGAAAGGTCTGTAACTTGCTCTTGAAAGAGTCCAGACAAGTAGATAGTCTCAGTTGAGTTGCAAATGCTTCCAGAGAACTGCAGCTCCATAGCTAAAGGATCTTCGACCAAAAGATTTCAGGTTTTACCTTGGGTCAGTAAGATGTTGGTCAGCTGATCGTAGGGCTCAAGATGGTGAGTGTGTTGTCAGTAGGTCAAACAGGTGTTCTGGGGTAGTCATGTTTCGGAGGGACAAATCGATGTGCTGCTGCCTTTGTATATGGACATCTTCCCGAGGCAAGGGAGTTAACTGACTGTAAAAGTCCAGTTTCCACCCTTGCCGAACTAGGCTGCAATTATGGATTAACGAATCTATACAGTCCAATCAAAATCACATAACGAAATCGACATCCGACTGCAGGATTTGCCAAAAATATGTACCCTCAACAGATATTTTCCATTTTTTAAAATGTTTTTAATCAATGTGCTTACGTGATTTCAGGCACGAGGTAAGACATCTTATACTTATCCTATCTCACACTATGCATTTACAGGCCAGACGCTTAATTCTCATCAGTCCCCATGGCGTAAATGTTGATAATATATAAGAGGAAACTTATCAAAAGCGATGAAAAAACAAAAATTGTATTCTCTACTTGATATCACGTCTCCAGAGAATGGAGAATGATGTTGCATTGGGTGTCTGGTGATTAAACCGCTTACCTCACGGTGCAGGGGATTGCAGTGCATGACCCAATTGTTTGGGTGGTGACTCTTGTGATGCCAGGGGTGTTTGGGCGAAATGATTTTAGAAGCGGGAAACTTTGGTCTGGGACGTTTCCACACAAGGATCGAAAGAAGAAGAAGTTCATAGTTTGAGATAGGATAACTTCAAAAATGAACAATATTTTTCTTGATCATAGATCAGATCGTCTTGACTGGGTGCCGACATTTTGTTTGAAGCAAATGCAAGTGATATGAGAGGTGGAATCAGATTGGTCAATAGGAGGGGCATAGAGGCACATGTAACTTGTAATAGCCACTGATGGCGCTACGAGCCAAGATAATCCAGCCTAGTTTGGCAAGGGTGGAAACTTGACTTTTAGAGTCTCAGGAAGATGTAATGCAAACATCTTTCTCATTGCCTTTAGAACAAAGATAAAAAGTATTGTTAAATGACACTGAAGGTCTACAACATAGTGTGGCATGTTTTGTCTTGTGTGTATATCAGAACAAATTCTATGTAGCGTATATTCCGATTTTAATATCAAATCTAAACTGCTTTATACAAAACAGCAACTCACTGACAGAATAAACAACCACATTGGATAAATCATTCACACAACCTCTCCATGTCCCGGAGCACTCGCCATTGACACCAGTAATCATCATAATGATTGTCAGAAGTGATCAGCTAACGGAATCAAAGACAATGACAACATGATGCATAGTCCAATAGTGTATACTATGAAGGTTTTATATTATGTCCAACATCTTCAGACAGGTCCAGTCAGTCTACTTCTTATGTTTGTAGAAGCCTTCCCCGGTCTTCATGCCCAGTTTGCCCTCTCCCACCAGCTTGTTCAAAAGGGCGCTGGGTTTGAACAACGGATGGTCAGGCTCCCTCTCATGCCAACCTGTGGACATTGTTACAGCATTGGTCAAAGCAATGGTTGAAAGGTTGATGAGGCAAAACGAAATCAAGTCTTTCTGGGAACAAATTGTGTTTTTCTTAAGAAAAACAGCACCCAATTAGACTTATGTGTTCTGTAGTTTCATTGGGCTGAACAGCGCGCCATGAAGTTTCAGATGTAAATTTAGCATGTCACTCATTCAATTCTCGACCATCAAATCTACAGGCAACATAACACTAAGAAGAAAACATTATGTTAATCTCAATCCTACCAAGATAAAAAATGGAAACTTTTTAGATACAATAAATGTGATATTAAATTACAAGACAGAAACTTTCCAGCCACTTGTGTCCGAAAACATTGTAAAATTTTCTTTATCGTCAATTTTCATCATGTTGTCTGCCTAATTTTATCGACAGTCATACCTGTTCTAGGTATTGAAATTTCACCATTTGTAACTCACAATAGTTAATATCATTATTTGAAACTCTCTATCTACCATGAATGTTAATAGGAAAACATGGAACTACATGGATTTGGACAATGTGCCCACAACATTCCATCTAGAATGACTTCCCTTGGAACCAAAAAATTGAGACCCTCACAACATAGAAAATATAGCATATTCACTACACAGATACTGACCATCCAAAATAAACTTCATGGTGTCAAGTCCAACATAGTCGCTCAACTCGAAAGGTCCCATGGGATAGCCAGCTCCTAGCTTCATGGCCACATCAATATCCCTTGGGGCCGCATCACCTGGGGACATGATTGATTGATTGAACAGGGGTGGACTTATCAATTTTCATAGCTATTCTTGCAACATCAATATCCATTGGGGCCACATCACACTTGGGTAGGATGGGTTGGAGTGAGTGAGTGAGTGAGTGAGTGAGTGAGTGAGTGAGTGAGTGAGTGAGTGAGTGAGTGAGTGAGTGAGTGAGTGAGTGAGTGAGTGAGTGAGTGAGTGAGTGAGTGAGTGAGTGAGTGAGTGAGTGAGTGAGTGAGTGAGTGAGTGAGTGAGTGAGTGAGTGAGTGAGTGAGTGAGTGAGTGAGTGAGTGAGTGAGTGAGTGAGTGAGTGAGTGAGTGAGTGAGTGAGTGAGTGAGTGAGTGAGTGAGTGAGTGAGTGAGTGAGTGAGTGAGTGAGTGAGTGAGTGAGTGAGTGAGTGAGTGAGTGAGTGAGTGAGTGAGTGAGTGAGTGAGTGAGTGAGTGAGTGAGTGAGTGAGTGAGTGAGTGAGTGAGTGAGTGAGTGAGTGAGTGAGTGAGTGAGTGAGTGAGTGAACTGGATGGACTCAGTTTATCATTGTTCATAGCTATTCTTGCCACATCAATATCCCTCGGGCCACATCATCTGGGTGGGATGGGGGTTGCATGAGCGAGTGAGTGAGTGAACAGGGGCAGACTTAGTTTATCATTGTTCATAGCTATTCTTGCCACATCACTGTAGGGCACACCAAGGAGCAGCTTCCCACTTTGTACCCATGTGGAGAACTGAACCTGTGCATTGTGTGTGACGAGTGGACACAAGGTGGCTTCCCGGCTCCAGGTATGTGATGTTCGTTTGTTGTTAAATGCTGCACTCAGCAATATTCCAGCTATGTGGCCGCAGTCTGTAATTAATTAAATCTGGACCACACAATCCAGTGACTGAGCATCTCAGCAATTGGACCGCCTGATCCCAACATTGACTCCTAGAGTGAGTGAGTGTTGTTTTATGTCGCTTTTAGCAATATTCCAGCAATATCACAACGGGGGACACCAGAAATGGGCTTCACACATTCTACCCATGGGGAATCAAACCCGGGACTTCAGCATGACGAGCAAATGCTTTAACCACGAGGCTACCCCAACGCCCTGGGCTGCTAAAGGTCAATTCTAACCAGAATCATGGGAGGTATGTGATGAAGAACAACAACAGTCAGGGTATATGAATACATTCGGAAATTAGACACATTCAACCAGTAACAAACTCTGTGATGGGCACTGAGATGTTGAAATGAGTAACTGAATGTTTTTGAAGACATAGATTGCAGGATCAAAAGCATTTCATGAGAGTATGAATGAAATGAAGACTGGACCAGCCAAATCAGTGGTTGACAGTAAAAGGGTGATTCGTCTCCATGTGACACACTCAACAGTTTGCTTGGCCACAAGACTCAATTTTGCCTGTTTTTTAGGACAAGTTTATTTTGATACTGGTGATTCGTTGAATATATGAATAAATCATGTGATCTCCGTGATTTACCTCTCTCCACGAGGCGAACTGCTTCCAACATGTAGGGCACCAGGAGACGATTCACAATGAATCCAGCTGTGTCCTGAAATAGAACATATTATCAATAGTAGAGTGCAAGCTTTTGCCGGACACAAAACATTGCATCCCATCCATAACAGGCTCTAGACCACAGGTCACAGTGACCTTCTAATACTGTAAGAATTTCATAACTTGTCAAAAAGAACTATTCTTTAGAAAAGGCATTCTCGTGATAAGGGCAAACTTACTTTCCAAATCACGATCACTGTGACCTATATTCTTAAGTCTCTCATGATCTTCCCATCCAAGGTTGACATGTACCAAATTTCATTGAGGTTATGACCTTGAGAATAACCTTGTCCCTTGACATGACCAAGCAATGTGTCCACAAATAAGTCTGAGGATTCTAAAGGGGATATACCTGATATATCCCTGAGATGTCCAAGCACAAAGTTGGGCAGCACTTTTGAAAGATCCCCATTTACTAGAGACATCAATGGCCAATGTGTTATCAATAAACTGAACACACACATATTAATGTTCTTACAGTGAGTGATTTGTCATGTTCTGAAGATCGTCTAACTTTCTTCAAGCAATCATCTGCTGTTAATTGTTTTGATATTTCATGTATTTAATTATTATGTGTCCATCATTATTTAATGTCCAAATGAGCACCCTACCTTGCAAGGTACCGTGACCTTGCCCATGGCCTTGCCAAACTCCATCAATGAGTTGAATGTCTCGTCATTTGTCTCTGATGTCCTGACAACCTGCAAACAAAAATACAAATTCCTCAAGTTAGTCACCAGTTCCATATGCATGAGTTAGTTGGTTTTTTAATACATCTTTGAATGGGATTTCCGTTAAATCACGGCATGTCAGCTTGATGTTGAAGGAATACCTGAAGTGAGTCAGATCTTAGGTGTTTACCATTTTTGTTGAAACCCATGAGAACACGAGCAAGGTGAATCTAGGATTCTGACCCAAGATCATCATCTTCCTAAGGTAAGGGAGTTCACTAACTATAAAAGTCCAGTTTCCACCCTTGCCGAACTAGGCTGGAATTATGGAGTTGATCTTTTGGCTGGACTAACAAGTGTATGCATAGTCAAATCAAAATTGCGTTACGAAATCGACATCTGGTTGACATTGCAGATTTTGGGCAATTGATGGATTTGCAAAGCATGTGTACCGCCAGTTTAGCATCAACAAAAAAAGTCCAAATCCTTTCATATTTTTAATCAAGGTGCTCACGTGATTTGATGCACTTCACGAAGTAAGACCCTTTATATTAAAGTAAAGATCTGGTGCCGCCATATTGTTTGAAGCAAATGCAAGTGATATGAGAGGTGGAATCTGACTGGTCAATAGGAGAGACATATACGGGCATAACTCGTAATCACTACTGGTGGCGCTAAAATCAAGCCCAGAAATTCTAGCCTAGTTTGGCAAGGGTGGAAACTGGACTTTTTACAGTCAGTTACCTCCCTTGACTCAGGAAGAAGCAAGATCATAGGCTCCTGATACAATTGCTGTGATTTGTTTATCAGAAATGTTTTAATCTGGACAGATTTCAGTGTGTGCAAATACTGTCATGTGAAAAGCCACAGTTATAAGCACATCCATCACCTCTAAAGAGAGTACGACTGCATGCTATTAACAGTATACTAAAATACACTTTTCAAATATGTGTTGCAATATTTTCACTTTGATGAGTTTCATTATTTCTTGGAATGTCCTATTTTCAGTCGAGTAGAGAAATGTTTTCGCTCCCCTATTATTATACTAATCCTTCCATTGAAAAATTATCACAGCTTCTGTCATCAGCGAACCCAAGTGTATCTTTATATCTGAAAAGAAACCTACCCAGATAAGCACCTTATATGTTTAGAAATAGAGTCCTGGATGCATTTTTGTATATGCAGCACTATGGGCTATTTGGCCTCAAATGCAAATAAAACATGAGACTTGTCACTAGGAAGTTACAGGACATTCTCTACTCGTGACTTACCAATTTGTAATCAGTTTGAGATGTCCTGTCCCTAGTCCTCTATATTTAGAAATAGTGTACTATGTGGTGTCAAATGCAAATAAACTTTTCACTTAAGAAGGCAGAAAATCGGACCACAACACATAACTGTATCCAATCTCATTAAAATCAGATCTTAGTTTTCGCTACCGCTAAATAAAGATCTGAGGACATCCCATTACGGGTCACGTCAGAACAACCTTTCGCGAATTTTGACCCACCAATGAAATGACCGACAAGAAATCGACATTAGCCAATCAGAAGGCAGCTTTCTCGAGTTTTACGACACTAGTTTCAAACTGGTGACTACGCTTTGAAACATATTTTGAAGTATTCTCGAATAAAAAAAATAATTAAAACTGATATGAAGAATATTCTAGAATGGCTTTTAGATGGCCTAGATTGTATGGATATAATCATAAAACCCTTAACTGTCGTTCGGAATACTCCGTGTTAATTATTTCATGGTTGCATGATTAGAAAACACATTTCAACTGTCACTTTCATGATCTGGTAAGCGACGCTCTGATTGGTTGGATGAAAGGTCGTTCTGACGTAACCCTTAATGGGATGTCCTCAGATCTTTGTTTAGCGACAGCGAGAACTAAGATCTGATTTTAATGAGATTGAACTGTATCACAATATATTACAATACAATTTTTGCTGCCAATACACAGCCCCGTAAGAGAGCCATGAAAAGCAATACTTTTGTACAATGGACTGAAAATCAAGAGCTCCAGTACAAGAAGATCCAGTATGAAGACAAGCACATCCCACCTCCAGGAGCTTCATCATGGGAACTGGGTTGAAGTAGTGGAGTCCTCCGAACCGGTCCCTCCTCTGCGTTGATGCAGCGATATCGGTGATGGGGATGGATGAGGTGTTGCTGGTAAAGATGGTGTGTCTGAAAGAGGTGAAATGGGGGTTAACGTCACAGTCAATACTATTTCCCTCATATAGCAATTTATACACATGTGTGCGGGGAGCTTTTACTAGTCCAGACTTATGCCGGTTTTATAGTTCTAGCTCACTGAGGTACCATGCTGCAGAGTAGCGACGTGATGAGCGAAAGCTTTAACCACTAGGCTACCCCACCACCCTACTTTTATTATAACTCCTCACAGATTAAGTACTAGTTAGCATTATTTCAACTGAATCAAGACACTATTTGCCTCTTAATTTTTCGCGATTTTTCAATATTTATAATGTCTAAATGCGGGCAGGTAACTTTGAAGATGGGCAGACAACATTTATAGATCACCTGCCCGACTGTCTTGTTGGTTTTAAAATCATTTCAAACACTGATGTGACCAAAGGTTGATGTGTGTACACAAACATTCAACTCGTAAAATCCATTTTCATCACTCTTAATAAATCCAGCTACCTGATTCACCAGTCGCTGTCACAAAAATCCCATACAAGTTGGACCAACATCGTCTGCTTGTTGTGTCGTCATTTACCCTGTTTGCATGTTGAGTTACCTTACCGAAACCACTGGCGGTTGTAATTAAAAGGCAGATCTGATATTGTCTCACATTCCTATTTCATCACTTGTGAACAGGTAAATTGATAAATTTGTTACATGTGTTACTAACAGGGTGTTGCAGGGTTTTACAAGGCTAACGTTTATGTAAACACCTCAACCATCAGTAACCATGAGTAATTTATGACACCTAGACTGACTAGCTAGCAAACATTATGAAATAATCTACGGCAGGTGCATGCAATTGTTGTTAGATGAGTGACGGTGGGTGAAACAAATACTGTTCTGGTTAATTAGCACTTATAAGCTACAAAAGATCAATCGATGTGGGATTGAGGGTGGAGGTGGGACCCTCCCCACTTGCCATACACATGACATACATAGAATCCATACCGGTATAATAATTACAAGACAGATCTCCCCACAACTAATCTAACGATCGCATATATACCGTACCCGGCTGGTGATAATATCCAATCAGCTTTCCGGCCGTGAATATTTAGGCTCCTCGTTAATATAATGACGTTTTTATGATTAGTTTGCGTTGTGACAAATACATACCATTAAGTCCGAGTTTTTAATTAAGCGCAACAGCGCTATGTTTACATGTTCACACTGATTTCCCTCGGTCTTCGTATTGTACATCGTACTGGCTAAATAATGATGTAAGAAACAAATGTGTAAATTTGTCGGTTTCTTGGCAACATATGATAATATAATGACAGTATATAACTAATCACCCATAAGGATCAAGCAATGTGTATGAACGCGGAGATAGCGTTTACGTTTCTTCAACGCTACATCGACTCTTGTGAAAACGTCTGATATCAAGGTTCCTTTTCCGTGGCCGTTACCGGTTATTATGAATATGAATTCTTCAAGCAATGACACATCGTCAGGAGACAACTTATTTCTGGGAGTGTCATACCTCATTGTGTCCGTTTTAGTAATAACGTCAAATAGTGTGGTCGTCATCGTCATTTTCAAGTCAAGGGAACTACATATGCCAACACTGTGGATGATTGCATTCATGGCCAGCTGGGACTTGGCCTTGGGTGTCTTCTGTCTTGTGTTTGCAGCACCATCAACATTTCTGAGCTATTTCCCATACCCGGATAGCCTTATTCCAGTAGCTGCGTGTATGCTGGTGTTTATAGGGTGTCAGAACGGCTTCAATATCTGTATGGTTGTTGTGGATCGTTACCTAGCGATCCGTTTTCCAATGAAGTATCCAAGAATTGCCGTTACACGGAATTATCTTCTATTAGTTATTCTTTCTTTGATGCTCAACGTCTCTCACCTCCTCATTATGGTGTTCACGGTGACAAAGTTCTACTTGAACACTCTAATCTGGCTCCCATATGCTGATCAAAAATCTGCTGCGGTTACATTTATAACTGGTTGTGTTCTCATCATTCCGTTTGGTACTGTGATAGGATGTTCTGTGCCGGTGTATAAAAACATCAAACACGCCAGTAAACGGATCACGTCGCAAGGCGAACAGTCAGCATCCAGCAAGGATGTCCTCAGATTTCCACTCATGGTGCTTCTGTGCGCTGCGGCATACTGTCTATCCTATATCCCAGTGATAGTGACCATATTCTGGAAGTTAATATATGGTCATGAAAATGTGAATGTCTTCAGATTTTCAATTTTTTCTTTGGTTAGTAATAGCCTGTGGAACGTATTCATCTATGTGGGAACCTATAAACCTTTCAAGGTGGCACTGACGCGCCTATTCTGCAAAGCGTACTACAGGCGTCAGAGACGAGCATCTATGTTGAACATGATCCAAACTAGACCTCCTCTTCGGGAACATGCATTGTAGCAGGACCTATTGGACAGCTTGTTTGTATGTTGGAAATTTATCAACGATGGTCTTGTGCCTTACTGCATATCAAGATACTGCAAACGTACATGTAGTCCGGGGACGGATAATATGGCCTTTCATTTTCACTAAATTCATGGACATATTTGAAAAATGTTTCGACCGATGATAATGTGCTGTCCTGCAACAAATCTTTCTATTGCATAAACTGTTTCCGGTTTAACAGACTATAGCATGTTGAGATATTTAGAGAAGAACAAGTTCATTGAGGCGTTCTCCCTGGATATCATTTCGGGACATTAAGCTCATTATATAATTTTTCTTGTTGTATGAGTAAATCATTTCAAACCACTTGTCATAAAAGTCAAGATGAAAATGTTACTTTGCCCATTTTCGAGTACATGTACAAGTGTTTGTACACATACCATCTGGAACTTAATAAATACCCAATGTTAAGGTTTTCACCTGTTTATGTCATGTGCGTTTATTTGTGTCAGTAATATACAGCTTAAGGGTGTTCGTTCGTCTACATAAAGAGTATTAATCATTTTACCCAAACTTTAAATGCCAAAACGAAATAAGAACGGGTTCGTTGTGTATTCTATTCAATTCATCTGTACGAGATAACTTATATTTATTACTTCAATGAAAATGCAAGGGGAATAATATAATATATTTCAGCACTCAATAACAAAGCAACTGATAATTATTGCATGTAGCACAAATGAAGTACTATAATATCAAGTCTCAAAATTAATATTACTTATGTACCTTATGTATATGGTGGATTCATTACGAGTGGTTTATTAATATAGTTTATGAATATTTGAAATATCAACCGATTCTAAGGAACGTTTTTGCATCAGTGTCGACCATTTGATAATATGGATAGGGGTGGATGAGGTGCTATCGAAAAACATGTATTATACCAGAAAATGCTTGAATAAAAATGCTTCAGGCTGTTGAAAAAAAGAAGAATACAGAGTATTCTTTAACTTATCTCTAGCACTTGAAAACACTCTGAATTTGTCTTTGTAAGAGAGGAATTTGCATATAATAGGTTTTGATTTATTTTTGCTTTTTAAACGGTGTGCGCCTGCATAAGGAATTCCATCAAAAGGAATTGAACCTGCATCCTCGATTAATATGGGAAGTATCAACCGATTCTAAGGTAAGTCTTTGCATCAGTGTCGACCATTTGATAATGGAGATAGGGGTGGATGAGGTGCTATCGAAAAACATGTATTATACCAGAAAATGCTGGAATAAAAATGCTTCAGGCTGTTGAAAAAAAGAAGAATACAGAGTCGCAAGATGTTTAGCCTAAAACAATATCAAATGGGCGGTCCCACATAAGAAATTAGAATACTATGTCAACACTTACCAGTACAAATATGGGTATTGCTGAGTGCAATGAATTTATTCAACATAATATAACAGTGCGTTCCTCACGTACACAGCCACTCCGCCGGAAAATCTTCCAGAGTTTTTCAATCTCCTGGCAGGTGATACAGAACAAATGAAGTCTGGGGAAATATTTCTAATCCTGTCAGTGACAGGTTGCATGGTCTCTATCAGTCAAAATATTTCATATTTCTGACAAAAGTTAAAAAAGTCTGTGTCTTGAATGTGTGAATGAATGCCTTGCACATTCCAAGCGCAGACATTTATGTTAAATGTCGAGCTGAGAGGCGTTGTCTGTTGACGGGGCAGTTGACGTGACTCGGGCTGGTACTTCAGTGGGCCACGGCCGTCTTCTTAGTCTGAAGGAGAAGGGCGAGAAGAAGAGTCTTCGGCGCGTCTCCCTTCTCCCCTCCCCTGGGGGCCGGGTGGGCTATCCGCCCTGTCCGCTGGAGAATGGTGACGGGGTCTGCTACGGGCCGGGTGGGCTATCCGCCCTGTCCGCTGGAGAATGGTGACGGGGTCTGCTACGGGTCGATGAGTTTTTATCTCGTTTACTGATCACCCGTTGTAATCCCCCATTACTGTCTAATATAAATATCATCGCCTATGATGAGCTTGTCATAAGATAAGTAGGCTGTCTTGTCGTCACCTCTAGCGTCCAGCATGGGGTGGGTGAGTCCGGCTCTAGTCTGTCGTGTCTTCAATGTGCAGGCTTCTCCCACTCGTAGGGTCTCATTCTTCTTGAACTTATCTCTAGCACTTGAAAACACTCTGAATTTGTCTTTGTAAGAGAGGAATTTGCATATAATAGGTTTTGATTTATTTTTGCTTTTTAAACGGTGTGCGCCTGCATAAGGAATTCCATCAAAAGGAATTGAACCTGCATCCTCGATTAATATGGGAAGTATCAACCGATTCTAAGGTAAGTCTTTGCATCAGTGTCGACCATTTGATAATGGAGATAGGGGTGGATGAGGTGCTATCGAAAAACATGTATTATACCAGAAAATGCTGGAATAAAAATGCTTCAGGCTGTTGAAAAAAAGAAGAATACAGAGTCGCAAGATGTTTAGCCTAAAACAATATCAAATGGGCGGTCCCACATAAGAAATTAGAATACTATGTCAACACTTACCAGTACAAATATGGGTATTGCTGAGTGCAATGAATTTATTCAACATAATATAACAGTGCGTTCCTCACGTACACAGCCACTCCGCCGGAAAATCTTCCAGAGTTTTTCAATCTCCTGGCAGGTGATACAGAACAAATGAAGTCTGGGGAAATATTTCTAATCCTGTCAGTGACAGGTTGCATGGTCTCTATCAGTCAAAATATTTCATATTTCTGACAAAAGTTAAAAAAGTCTGTGTCTTGAATGTGTGAATGAATGCCTTGCACATTCCAAGCGCAGACATTTATGTTAAATGTCGAGCTGAGAGGCGTTGTCTGTTGACGGGGCAGTTGACGTGACTCGGGCTGGTACTTCAGTGGGCCACGGCCGTCTTCTTAGTCTGAAGGAGAAGGGCGAGAAGAAGAGTCTTCGGCGCGTCTCCCTTCTCCCCTCCCCTGGGGGCCGGGTGGGCTATCCGCCCTGTCCGCTGGAGAATGGTGACGGGGTCTGCTACGGGCCGGGTGGGCTATCCGCCCTGTCCGCTGGAGAATGGTGACGGGGTCTGCTACGGGTCGATGAGTTTTTATCTCGTTTACTGATCACCCGTTGTAATCCCCCATTACTGTCTAATATAAATATCATCGCCTATGATGAGCTTGTCATAAGATAAGTAGGCTGTCTTGTCGTCACCTCTAGCGTCCAGCATGGGGTGGGTGAGTCCGGCTCTAGTCTGTCGTGTCTTCAATGTGCAGGCTTCTCCCACTCGTAGGGTCTCATTCTTCTTGAACTTATCTCTAGCACTTGAAAACACTCTGAATTTGTCTTTGTAAGAGAGGAATTTGCATATAATAGGTTTTGATTTATTTTTGCTTTTTAAACGGTGTGCGCCTGCATAAGGAATTCAATCAAAAGGAATTGAACCTGCATCCTCGATTAATATGGGAAGTATCAACCGATTCTAAGGTAAGTCTTTGCATCAGTGTCGACCATTTGATAATGGAGATAGGGGTGGATGAGGTGCTATCGAAAAACATGTATTATACCAGAAAATGCTTGAATAAAAATGCTTCAGGCTGTTGAAAAGAAGAATTTGTCTGCCCCGAGTCGCAAGATGTTTAGCCTAAAACAATTTCTAATGGCCGGTACCACATAAGAAATTAAATTACTATGTCAACACTAACCAGTACAAATATGGGTATTGCTGAGTGCGGCGTTAAACAACAAACAAAACAAAACTATCGGGGGCGAGCTAACGTTTAAAGATGGACGGAGCGATACGCAACGACATTGTTGTTATTTTCACGTTTAGTTCAAAATACTCCCAGAAATAAATAATGCTTCACGGTAAACGCGATTGTATCGGTTCCAATTCCGCCTGTCGTTTGTGAGATACACAGATGTTTTTGATGCACTAATGTACTGAAAATACTGACCCTCCCCATTGCTTGGCATATTTTTTGTTGACCCTCCCCATGACCTTGAATATAAGCAACCAATATTTAACATTATGTCAAACAATTTGCATGTCATTTTAATTGGGGAGTTTAATACAAAGACAAATAACCTATGTGATTACAATTCTTGACGAACACATACTAGTAACTGAAGAATTTTATTTGGATATTGATGAAATGAGATCAAAACTTAATCCTGAATCTGTGCTCGATGAACTTTGGTTGCCACGTGTGTGAGCAATACGGGACAAAACAAGAATATATAACTTTGACTTTAAACTTATTGAAATCTGTAAAATTTTAAATCTGTTTATCGGTAATGTCAGTCTAGGAAATAATAAAATGATAGGTAAAACAGCATGTAAAGCTAAAAGGGTTCTCGATTATGTTATTGTTTCGCAAATGTGCCTTCCGCTCTTTTCTGATTTAAATGATATTGAGCACCCACCCACCCACCCCTCTACTCATACGTGCCCACTCATCTTTACATTTAGCGCTGTTATACCTCTTGTAAGTAATCCATGTAAAGGCGTATAAATGCCGATAACAAACCTAAAAGTTACAACCTTTATAAATCGGATATATACGTAAAGAATATAAATGTTGAACAGATAATAGAATCTTGAAGACACGATCAGGTCACGATCAGGTCACGGCGACCCGCCGAGTGTAAACAGATTTGATTTCGCTGCACGAGCAACATTCGGAGTATCCAGTGTTAAATACAGGCAACTTAAGAAAGATAACCATTGGTTCGGACGATCTAAAACCAAGGAATTTTGAAAGAGTCAAAATCAGGAATGACACCCTACGCACGTGTGTTTGTCTTCTGCGTGCGATACGTGCAAACTATAGGATGTGTTTTGGTGTAAAGTTATACAGACATTAACGTTCTTGAATGGGATGTTTGTCTTCCAACACTTCTTTGTCCTAATACTTTGTGGAGCCCATGTGTCCCCGCCGTGATATTGGTGGAACATTGCTAAAAGAGGCGTAAAACCATACTCACTCACTCACTCCTAATACTTGGTATTGACGTTCATGATCCCCTACTTTTTTGTCAGAGTATATACAAATATATCGACAAAGCTACTGCAATTAAATTACAGGCAGAAGTATTTTCTGTAGAGAAAGGTCTGTAACTTGCTCTTGAAAGAGTCCGGACAAGTAGATAGTCTCAGTTGAGTTGCAAATGCTTCCAGAGAACTGCAGCTCCATAGCTAAAGGATCTTCGATCAAAAGATTTCAGGTTTTACCTTGGGTCAGTAAGATGTTGGTCAGCTAATCGGTAGGCTCAAGATGGTGAGTGTGTTGTCAGTAGGTCAAACAGGTGTTCTGGGGTAGTCATTGTAAAATTGTATTCTCTACTTGATATCACGTCTCCAGCGAATGGAGAATGATGTTGCATTGGGTGTCTGGTGATTAAACCGCTTACCTCGCGATGCAGGGGATTGCAGTGCATGACCCAATTGTTTGGGTGGTGACTCTAGTGATGCCAGGGGTGTTTGGGCGAAAAGGTTTTAGAAGCTGGAAACTTTGGTTTGGGACGTTTCCACACAAGGATCGAAAGTAGAAGAAGAAGTTCATAGTTTGAGATAGGATAACTTCAAAAATGTACAATATTTTTCTTGATCATAGATCAGATCGTCTTGACTGGGTGCTGACATTTTGTTTGAAGCAAATGCAAGTGATATGAGAGGTGGAATCAGATTGGTCAATAGGAGGGGCATAGAGGCACATGTAACTTGTAATAGCCACTGGTGGCGCTACGAGCCAAGATAATCCAGCCTAGTTTGGCAAGGGTGGAAACTTGACTTTTAGAGTCTGGTTACTTACTCCCTTGCCTGAGGGAGATGTAATGCAAACATCTTTCTCATTGCCTTTAGAACAAAAATAAAAAGTATTGTTAAATGACACTGAAGGTCTACAACATAGTGTGGCATGTTTCGTCTTGTGTGTATATCAGAACAAATTCTATGTAGCGTATATTCCGATTTTAATATCAAATCTAAACTGCTATATACAAAACAGCAACTCACTGACAGAATAAACAACCACATTGGATAAATCATTCACACAACCCTCCATGTCACGGAGCACTCGCCATTGACACCAGTAATCATCATAATGATTGTCAGAAGTGATCAGCAAACAGAATCAAAGACAATGACAACATGATGCATAGTCCAATAGTGTATACTATGAAGGTTTTATATTATGTCCAACATCTTCAGACAGGTCCAGTCAGTCTACTTCTTATGTTTGTAGAAGCCTTCCCCGGTCTTCATGCCCAGTTTGCCCTCTCCCACCAGCTTGTTCAAAAGGGCGCTGGGTTTGAACAACGGATGGTCAGGCTCCCTCTCATGCCAACCTGTGGACATTGTTACAGCATTGGTCAAAGCAAAGGTTGAACGGTTGATGAGGCAAAACGTAATCAAGTCTTTCCAGGAACAAATTGTGTTTTTCTTAAGAAAATCAGCACCAAATAAGACATGTGTTCTGTAGATTTCATGGGGCTGAATTTATATTGGACCCTACAGCGCGCCATGAAGTTTCAGATGTTAATTTAGCATGTCACTCATTCAATTCTCGACCATCAAATCTACAGGCAACATAACACTAAGAAGAAAACATTATGTTAATCTCAATCCTACCAAGATAAAAAGTGGAAACTTTTTAGATACAATAAATGTGATATTAAAATACAAGACAGAAACTTTCCAGCCACTTGTGTCCGAAAACATTGTAAAATTTTCTGTATCGTCAATTTTCATCATGTAGTCTGCCTAATTTTATCGACAGTCATACCTGTTCTAGGTATTGAAATTTCACCATTTGTAACTCACAATAGTAAATATCATTATTTGAAACTCTCTATCTACCATGAATGTTAATAGGAAAACATGGAACTACATGGATTTGGACAATGTGCCCACAACATTCCATCTAGAATGACTTCCCTTGGAACCAAAAAATTGAGACCCTCACAACATAAAAAATATAGCATATTCACTACACAGATACTGACCATCTAAAATAAACTTCATGGTGTCAAGTCCAACATAGTCGCTCAACTCGAAAGGTCCCATGGGATAGCCAGCTCCTAGCTTCATGGCCACATCAATATCCCTTGGGGCCGCATCACCTGGGGGATTGATTGGGGGATTGATTGATTGATTGATTGATTGATTGAACAGGGGCGGCCTCAGATTATCAATTTTCATAGCTATTCTTGCCACATCAATATCCATCGGGGCCGCATCACACTTGGGTAGGGTGGGGTGGAGGGTGAGTGAGTGAGTGAGTGAGTGAGTGAGTGAGTGAGTGAGAGAGAGAGAGAGTAAAATGGGGGGGGGGGGGGGGGACTCTGATTATCATTGTTCATAGCTATTCTTCCCACATCACTGTAGGGCACACCAAGGAGCAGCTTCCCACTTTGTACCCATGTGGAGAACTGAACCTGTGCATTGTGTGTGACGAGTGGACACAAGGTGGCTTCCCCTTCCAGGTATGTGATGTTTGTTTGTTGTTAACTGCCGTACTCAGCAATATTCCAGTTATGTGGCCGCAGTCTGTAATTAATTAAATCTGGACCACACAATCCAGTGACTGAGCATCTCAGCAATTGGACCACCTGATCCCAGCATTGACTCCTAGAGTGAGTGAGTGTTGTTTTATGTTGCTTTTAGCAATATTCCAGCAAATTCACAACGGGGGACACCAGAAATGGGCTTCACACATTCTACCCCTGTGGGTAATCGAACCCGGGACTTCAGCATGACGAGCAAGTTCTTTAACCACGAGGCTACCCCAACGCCCTGGGCTGCTAAAGGTCAATTCTAACCAGAATCATGGGAGGTGTGTGATGAAGAACAACAACAGTCAGGGTATATGAATACATTCGGAAATTAGACACATTCAACCAGTAACAAACTCTGTGATAGGCCCTGAGATGTTGAAATGAGTAACTGAATGTTTTTGAAGACATAGATTGCAGGATCACAAGTATTTCATGAGAGTATGAATGAAATGAAGACTGGACCAGCCAAATCAGTGGTTGACAGTAAAAGGGTGATTCGTCTCCATGTGACACACTCAACATTTTGCTTGGCCACAAGACTCGATTTTGCCTGTTTTTAGGACAAGTTTAATTTTATACTGGTGATTCGTTATATGAATGAATCATGTTAAGATTTCCGTGATTTACCTCTCTCCACGAGGCGAACTGCTTCCAACATGTAGGGCACCAGGAGACGATTCACAATGAATCCAGCTGTGTCCTGAAATGGAACATATTATCAATAGTAGAGTGCAAGCTTTTGCCGAACACAAAACATTGCATCCCATCCATAATAGGCTCTAGGCCCTCCAGCAGGGGCAATTATATCAATAAAATCTTGGAAAATCAAGTGTTCAGACTAACGCCCTCAAAATGTATTTCTGAGAGAACCATGAACTTGACCTTCTAATATTGTAAGAATTTCATAACTTGTCAAAAAGAATTATTCTTTAGAAAAGGCATCCTAGTGATAATGGCAAACTTACTTTCCATATGACCATCACTGTGACCTATATTCTTAAGTCTCTCATGCCCTCCCCATCCAAGGTTGACATGTACCAAATTTCGTTCAGGTTATGACCTTGAGAATAACCTTGTCCCTTGACATGACCGAGCAATGTGTCCACAAATAAGTCTAAGGACTCTAAAGGGGATATACCTGATATATCCCTGCGATGTCCAAGCACAAAGTGGGGCAGCACTTTTAAAGTATCCCCATTTACTACAGACATCAATGGCCAATGTGTTATCAATAAACTTGGGCGGTGGGGTAGCCTAGTGGTTAAAGCATTCGCTCGTCACGCCGAAGACCCGGGTTCGATTCCCGACATGGGTACAATGTGTGAAGCCCATTTCTTGTGTCCCCCGCCGTGATATTGCTAAAAGCAGCGTAAAACCATACTCACTCACTCACTATCAATAAACTGAACACACACATATTAATTTTCTTACAGTGAGTGATATGTCATGTTCTAAAGATCGTCTAACTTTCTTCAAGCAATCATCTGCTGTTAATTGTTTTGATATTTCATGCATTTAATTACCTTGTATTATGTTTGCATCATTATTTAATGTCCAAATGAGCACCCTACCTTGCAAGGTACCGTGACCTTGCCCATGGCCTTTCCAAACTCCATCAATGAGTTGAATGTCTCGTCATTTGTCTCTGATGTCCTGACAACCTGCAAACAAAAATACAAATTCCTCAAGTTAGTCACCAGTTCCATATGCAAGAGTTAGTTGTTTTTTTAATACATCTTTGAATGGGATTAAATCACGGCATGTCAGCTTGATGTTGAAGGAATACCTGAAGTGAGTCAGATCTTAGTTGTTTACCACTCTGTTGAAACCCATGAGAACACGAGCAAGGTGAATCTAGGATTCTGACCCAAGATCATCATCTTCCTAAGGCAAGGGAGTTAACTGACTATAAAAGTCCAGTTTCTACCCTTGCCGAACTAGGCTGGATTTATGGAGTTTATCTTTTGGCTGGACTAACAAGTGTATGCATAGTCAAATCAAAATTGCGTTACGAAATCGACATCTGGTTGACATTGCAGATTTCGGGCAATTGATGGATTTGCAAAGCATGTGTACCGCCAGTTTAGCATCAACAAAAAAAGTCCAAATCTTTTCATATTTTTAATCAAGGTGCTCATGTGATTTGATGCACTTCACGAAGTAAGACCCTTTTATATTACAGTAAAGATCTCAGATCGTCTTCAGAGTAAAGTAAAAAGTAAAGTTTTTGCCGCCCTATTATTATACTAATCCTTCCATTGAAAAATTATCCCAGCTTCTGTCATCAGCGAACCCTGCAGTAATTAAAAGTGTATCTTTATATCTGAAAAGAAACCTACCCAGATAGGCACCTTATTGATATATGTGTTTAGAAACAGAGTCCTGGATGCATTTTTGTATATGCAGCACTATGGGCTATTTGGCCTCAAATGCAAGTAAAACTTGAGACTTGTCACGAGTCTAGGAAGTTACAGGACATTCTCTAATTGTGACTTACCACTTTGTAATCAGTTTGAGATGTCCTGACCCTGGTCCTCTATATTTAGAAATAGTGTACTGTCTGCATTTTTGCAGCACTATGGGCCATGTGGTGTCAAATGCAAATAAACTTGTCACTTAGAAGGCAGAAAAATCGGACCACAACACATAACTGTATCCAATCTCATTAAAATCAGATCTTAGTTTTTGCTACCGCAAAACAAAGATCTGAGGACATCCCATTACGGGTCACGTCAAAACAATCTTTCACGAATTTTGACCGACCAATGAAATGACCGACAAGAAATCGACATTAGCCAATCAGAAGGCAGCTTTCTTGAGCTTTACGGCACTAGTTTCAAACTGGTGACTATGCTTCGAAACATATTTTGACGTATTCTCAATAAAAAAATGTTTAAACTGATAAGAATATTCTGGAATGGCTTATAGATGGCCTAGATTGTATGGATATAATCATAAAACCCATAACTGTCGTTCGGGATATTCCATGTTAATTATTTCGTGGTTGCATGATTAGAAAACACATTTCGACTGTCACTTTCATGATCTGGTAAGCAACGCTCTGATTGGTTGGATTAAAGGTCGTTCTGACGTGACCCTTAATGGGATGTCCTCAGATCTTTGTTTAGCGACAGCAAGAACTAAGATCTGATTTTAATGAGATTGAACTGTATCACAATATATTACAATACAATTTTTGCTGCCAATTTACAGCCCTGTAAGAGAGCCATGAAAAGCAATACTTTTGTACAATGGAATAAGACTGAAAATCAAGAGCTCCAGTATGAAGACAAGCACATCCCACCTCCAGGAGCTTCATCATGGGAACTGGGTTGAAGTAGTGGAGTCCTCCGAACCGGTCCCTCCTCTGCGTTGATGCAGCGATATCGGTGATGGGGATGGATGAGGTGTTGCTGGTAAAGATGGTGTGTCTGAAAGAGGTGAAATGGGGGTGAACGTCACAGTCAATACTATTTCCCTTATATAGCACATTTATACACATGTGTGTGGGGAGCTTTTGCTAGTCCAGACTTATGCCGGTTTTATAGTTCTAGCCCACTGAGGTACCATGCTGCAGACTAGCATGGATACCAACTTGACATATGAACACAAAATGCCTTTTAGAAAGTTGTCAAATGTAACAAATGTTAAATTTGGGATAACACTTTCTGAGTAAAGTACTCAGAAAGTGTTATCCTAAATATAAAATTGTTACATTTGACCACTTTCTAAATGGCTTTGTGTGTTCATAGCTTTTGGCCATGGGAGCTGTGCCAATTTACACTTGTCAGAGGGGTACACAATGTACGTAATCTTGACTGCCAGCTGTTGGACTTTCATTTTGTGGAAGCCTCGGTGGCAGAGTGGGTTAGATCGCTGACTTTGTGTGCTGGCGATTAGGTGCCTCACTCTGGCAGTGTGGGTTCGATTCCTGGTCAGGACTTAACTAATAAAAAGTTCGAGAATCGGTACTTTACACAGAAAGTGTGATCCCAAATATAACATTTGCTACTTGACATAATATCCAAACCGGCCAGTCCTTGCTTCATTCCCTGAATGCCAGGCACAAGGCAGGGTAACAGTAGGGTGTCTCCCAGTCACTGAGTCATTATTTTCCTTTCCACCAGCCCTTCTGTAATGCTACAGTCAAAAATGGAGCAAGTCTAGATTTTCCATAGGTTCAGATCCCACCTCAGGGCTCCTTCTCAATTTAAATGTAGTTGTTTGTTTCTATCAAAATAATAACCAAGCGTTAGCCTCGGTAAAGAGAGTACCATATTTTATCATATTTTGGTATGACGAAACCAATAATTGAACCACCAGCCTTCTGTGTTCTAGGCAGACATTCTACCCACTACACCACGAAAGAAAATGATGGGAGTGTTTAGGTAATGTAGTGAGGCATATACAAATGATGTAAAGTCGGTGCCTGATGGATAACTATTTCTTTTTGTCCTCGGGGGGCATGGGTGGCCCAGTCGTCTAAGGCGCTGCGATTTGCTGTGCAGAGTTGCGTCCCTTAGCCACGGCAGAAACCTATGATTGTGGGTTCAAATCTCGGTTCGCCCCGATTATGTTTCTAGGTTGGTGAGCACCATACCCGTGCTCGTGGGTAAACGTGGTAAACGTCTCAGACCTGCATCACTTCGGGCTTTCCTCCCACATTAAGCTGACACGCCGTGATATAACTGGAATACTGTTAAAAGCGGCGTTAAACCCAACTCACTCACTCACTCTTTTTGTCCTCCAAATGAACAAATGCTGAACTTGCCAAAATGAATCCTAAAACACAATCCTGTCCTCTACAATACAATAGCTGCTGAGAAAAATAACAATATCAATACAGTCATGCCCCGCTCATACGGACTTCAGATATCCGGAAATCTCGGTTCCCGGACGATTTTCATTCAAAACGAAATAATTACTATATAAATTTACCCGTATATCCGGAAATTCAGTTTCCGGAACCGGACGGTCATTTTCATACACAAAACACTGAAATGCACACGAAAATGTCTCACTTATCCGGACAATACACTTCCGCTGGTGGTAATCCTTTGATTCATGAGAAGTCAATTAACCAAGTGACACTGAGCTACGTTTGAGACGAGCTTGTACATTGTACATGTAATCCCCTTCGATAAATATGGCGTCTGTGGAGGTCAGAGGTCAGTGTTGTGTAAGTATGGCCTGTCAACCAGCGAAACGTAAGCAACACGCAGTTACAGCACGTGAAAAAAAGGGAAATTTGTCTGTTTAAAGAAAAACACCCGTCAGCAAGTTTAGAAACCATCAGTAAGCATTATGGCACTGCATTTGGACATACCATAGGAAAATCGACAATTGGTGACAGTTCAAACTTCCATGACAGACTTTTTGAAACGTGTATGAATAAAGATTGAGTGGATATATCTGTTTGCTCTGTCATCTGTCATAAGTTGCATAACTGAAGGGAAGTAACTCTTCCAGTAAGAAGCTGGTTTCAGTTATACGGAAATTCGTTTATACGTACGAATTGTGAAATGACGCAAGTGTCCGTATAAACGAGGCACGACTGTATCTTTCAATATCTGCCACAACAAGTATTTGAGTGAAGTCTTCGAGTGGCCTTACTGTGGTGCAGCTTTATCCAGAGCTGAGAACAGTTGTTTCTTGACCCCGAGGTTCTCCACAATGGCCTCGATGACGAGGTCAGCCTTCTCCACAGCCTTGGAGGAGTCTGTGTTTGTGGAGATGCGGCCCATTACGCCTGAGATGAATTCTTCCCCGTCCTAAACAAACAAGAAGGCCATGAGTGACATGTGTCAGCAGTCGGGTGTATGGGATTTTACAAGCTGTTTGCTCCTATACATCATCTCACCCTGTGTTCGAAATAACTGCCTGCCCGCCTGCCCGTGGCTGGTAACTTTTCTGTCAGGCTGCATGAAATTTTCTTCTACCTGCTCGACTGTCTGGCAGATAATTTTCAGCCAACTTACGTATTCACTTATATTATAGTGAGTGAGTATTGTTTTACGCTGCTTTTAGCTTTTAGCAATATTCCAGCATTATCACGGTGGGGGACACCAGAAATGGGCTTCACGAATTGTACCAATGTAGGGAATTGAACCTGTGTCTTTGACGTGATGAGCGTACGCTTTAACCACTAGGCTACCCCACCACCCTCACTTTTATTATAACTCCTCATAGATTAAGTACCTGTTAGCATTATTTCAACCGAATCAAGGCCCTATTTGCCTCTTAATTTTTCACGATTTTTCAATATTTATAATGTCTAAATGCAGGCAGGTAACTTTGAAAATGGGCAGACAACATTTATAGATCACCTGCCCGACTGTCTTGTTGGGTGACCAAAGGTTGAGGTGTGTACACAAACTTTCAACTCGTAAAATCCATTTTCATTACTCTTTATAAATCCAGCTCCCTGATTCAGCTGTCGCTGTCACAAAAATCCCATACAAGTTGGACCAACATCTTCTGCTTGTCGCGTCGCCATTTACCCTGTTTGCATTATTATATTACCCACTGGCAGTTGTGATTATAAGGCAGATCTGATATTGTCTCACATTCCTATTTCATCACTTGTGAACAGATAAAATGATAAATTTGTTAAATGTGTTACTAACAGGGGGTTGCAGTGTTTTACAAGGCTAACGTTTATGTTAACACCTCAACCATCAGTCTTGATGAGTACAAGTCCTGAAGATCCGGGGTAGAATTGGTCTTCAGCAACCCATTCTTGGCATAAAAGGGCGACAGCGCTTGTCGTAAGAAGCAACTACCGGGATCGGGTGGTCAGGCTCGCTGACTTTGTTGTTGCATGTCATTGATCCCAATTGAGTGGATCGATGCTCATGATGTCAATCACTGGATCATGTGGTCAAGACTTGATTATTTACAGACTGCCGTCAGAAAGCTTGAATATTGCTGAGTGCTGCGTTAAACAACAAACAAACAATACCACTCATCTTGTAAAATCCTGTACACCCTGCTAGTGACGATGTAACAAATTTATTTTCACAAGTTTCAACATGTCCAAAGGCCAATTTTCGGTGGAATATAGTTGTGTGCATTGTGCCGCTGTCTGAACATAATGTGCAAACTGGGTCATTTGTGACGTGACAAGTTATGTCACATCAAACATTATTTAAGAAATAAACGACGAGTGGGAGTTGTTTATTGTAAAATAAAACACTGCAGGGAGAATAAACCATGATGGGCGAAGCATTTTGTACAGACCTTTTAGGGATGACAATAAGTTGTACAAGCATTTAAAACATTTACCGGTATTTATATAATCATGACTCCCTGAATTGAATCCGACCTCGGCAATGTTGGACAAGTCAGTTTTATGTACAGGAAGTTCTGTTTGGTATTCTCACAATTTTCATGTCGATCACCTGCACATTTTCTTGATTGTCATAGCTCTCCCAATTATGGGTGCAACTGTTCAGCGTTTATTTTCATCTGCATTGTCCAGCTAAGTCTATAAGTAACAACTCACTCTAGACACTTCCCTCTCAAAAACGTCGTCCAATATACAACGTCATCAAGTTGCGAGCATGTTCAAATCTCCAGACATTACATCATGATAGAACAATGTTTCTAGTGAAATAAACCACACTTCATTCCTTATTGTTCTATGTGATTTATTGCGCAGCTATTTTCTGTAACGTCATCAAGTCCATAATCCTTATTATTGCTCATACCTTGGGGTTGTCTGCATACTTTTTCTTGGCAACTCTCTCCAGACTCTTCTTCATGCTTCCCATGGACTTGTTGAGGATGTCGTCCGTCTGGTCCACCAGCGTGACATTGTGTCCAGTTGCAGCTGCTACCTACAACACACAACCACTCCACTGCAGGCCGACATGACATTGATGTAAACTCTACCAGAGCTCCAGATAAGCTGCGTATCTGCGTAAAATATGCATCAGAAATGCAGAAATACCCAGTATAATAAAATCCATGCATATCAAATACGCAACAAACATTACAGATACGCTACAAAAATAAAATTTGTGTGTATCATCAAAATATTGTGAAGTAACCCTGCGTATTCGATTAGCAAATCAGCAACTTATTTTGAAATCATAAACGGGCATTCCGTCAACCTTGCCAAACTCCACGATGACAGTTACATCATGATCATTTGCCATCACACTTTCTTGTGGAAGCATCGTGGTATTTTTGAGTCCTATAAAGCTCTCGAACCCACATGACACCAGTTTGCAGGGGCTAAATGAATCGTGTTTTTAAATATTTAACTTAAATACCCACATGTGTAAAAACTAGTGGGTAACAGAAATTTGAATACCCAGAAAGAATAACTGATACCCAATGATTTTAAAATGCATGGGTAAAATACCCACAACACCAAAAGCTTATCTGGAGCTCTGCTCTTCCAATTTATGGAATGTCATCAGCTTCACCCTGATACTACTGGAGTTTGTATGCCTCATTTTAAGAAATAAATTCACAGATAATGACACCAAAACAATTAACATCCAGTCACATCTCATCTCTATGAGTCAAGTATCAGGTTAGTAGTTGGCCAGAACTATGCTGGTCATATGAGGCGATCAATCTCATTAAAATCAGATCTTAGTTCTCACTATCGCCAAACAAAGATCTAAGGACATCCCATTGCGAGTCACGTCAAAACGACCTTTCATCCGACCAATGAGAGCGTCGCTTACCAGATCATGAAAGTGACAGTTGGAATGTGTTTTCTAATCATGCAGCCTCGAAAACGTTAACACAGGGTATTCCGAATGACAGTTACAGCCCGTATGACTGATTCTGTCAATCTTTGTCTGTCTCTCGCTTCAATGGGATAAACATTTGAACGGAGGAGGCGTTGCACAGTATGTAGGAAACACTGCTATACAATCTCAACCATATATTAGACATTCCGGAATGTTCGTTTGTTCAGTTTTCAAACTTTTAATCGAGAACTGTGTAAACATATTTTTCATAGCCTGAAATGGAAGTTGCCAGGTTGAAATGAGTGCCGTAAAGCTTGAGAAAGCTGCTTTCTAATTGGCTGATGTCAAATTCTTGTTAGTGATTTCAGTGATCCATCAGAGTTCGCGAAAGGTCGTTCTGACGTGACCTGTAATGGGATGTCCTCAGATCTTTGTTTAGCGGCAGCAAGAACTTAGATCTGATTTTAATGAGATTGATGAGGCGATGAAGTGATTTGGGAGATAATGTCAATGTACCCAGATGCTGTGGATCCTTAATTGCTGGCTTGTCAATTAGTTACAGAGAGGAGAATGGCCTTAAAGAATCACATGCACGCGCACATAAACACACACACACACACACACACACACAGACAGTGACAGACACACAGACAGGTGGTGGGAGTGTTGCTACACTGAATGCCTAGTCTCGACATCGTAACCCTAAGTGTGGCAGACTGAGCTACTGAATCATATCACAGAGGCTTGAGTGATTTATTCCGTTGTGTCTCATGTCACTTTGAACAATATTTCTCCTATACCTTGTGTATGGTGCTTATAATCATATGAATATCACTGGCTAATCTTGGATTGAAACCAATTATCATAGAATATGCATGCCTTAGGGGATCTTGTAGAAAAATTAATTGTCCCAGAAAATTCTTTAAAAAAGTACTGAGAATCTACACTTCACACTTGAAAATGAATGAAATTGTTTGCAACAAAAAATGACATTGTTGCAAGGTGTTTGTATTTAATGCATATCGAGGCTTATAGATTTTAAAAAAACCTGGTTTTGCAGCTATAGCTGAAAAATATTTAATCTCCATACAAAATCCCTAAATCTTTCTCTTTTATTAATTCACAGTGAGTACCGGACAATTCACTTATGAACGTATGATCTATCACCTCGGGCTAAATAGTGAATCGTTTTGTTTTCTTTCTTTCAACAAATAGTTCTAGACTAAAGAAAGGATACCACTGTTATATGAATGCATAGTCTACTTGTGTGGGCTACCTGCCAGGTCAACATCCCATCAGGGTTCAAAGTACATTTCAGTTCAGCTGCAGTTTGCTGTCGCCGGTGTGCAGGTTTGCAAATCGCTGATTTGGAGTTATTCTCTCACACACGTACCTGAGCAATACCTGAGCCCATTAAACCACTGCCAATAACGGTCAGATATTTAACAGGACCCTGGCGTCCCACTGATGTAGACAGTTGCCGAGTGACGACTTTGCAGACCGATGCCATGTTGGTGAAAGGTGGTTTGATTGGAGTTACTTCCCTTCAACCGATCTCGCGACAATGGAGGCGATTATCCAATACTAAAGGGGTAGTTTCATGTTAAGAAGGGACCTTTAAATTCTGTTTCACACAGGATATTGTCAACACCATTTAATGACAGTTGTATGGCAGTAGTTATTAGATATAATCAGTAGTCAAAGGTAAGTAATACAAAAATGTATAACAATAACATAACACGTATCTTCTATCAAAAGAAGAGAGTATGTATTATACGGTCCCTTATAGTACTTGGGTCTATTCCATTCGTGACCAACTCGTGTTATTCCGGGACAAGCCAAATCATTCGTGACCAACTCGTGTTATTCCGGGACAAGCCGAATAGCGACTCGTGCCCCTCTCGTGGCCATTTTTGCGACCGGGTTCCGTCTTAGCGCAAACGGGCATAACTAAAACAATTGTCAATTCGTTGCGTAATGGTTCACATATATTTCCCCATATATTATATATATTTCAGATGCCTTTTAAAGCACATCGGGACGTGCGGAATTATACAATATGATTGAACACATTTAACTGTGTCTTTGGTATATTTTTAGATGCAAGACATATGTAAAATCAAAAATTATTTCTGAGGGATTCTTTGACGAAGTACTTGAAATCATACGCGCACTCTGATTGGTTTGTCGTATTTTCGCACATAACATTCATCGAGAGGGGGACGAGTCTTCTTGCAGGTTACGGAAAGGGGCGAGTGCTGACGAATGAAGCCGAATATCCTCTTGCAGGTTACGGAAAGGGGCGAGTGGTGACGAATGGGGTCTATTCATTGCATTTTCATTTCCGTTCAAACAGATATATTTAGTCGAAAACAAAACCATGCCTACCAAAGCAGAGAGCTAGCATAATATTGAATACGTACACACTTTAAACAGAAACAGCCACACAAGCTACAAACAAAGACACAATCCCCATCGTAGTGACAAGAACCCGGTACATTTTCAATGGACCCAAACAGTAAATCACACAGATGGTGATTGTGTCTTCGTTTGCGATTTGTGTGGCTATTTCTATTTAAACTGTGTACATATTCCATAATTTGGTAGCACTCTAGCTGCTGAATTTCTTTATAGCACGGAAGTTTTAGATACCGGCATGTTTCTGTTCACTTATGAAGTTGGGGTAACCTGGGAATTTGAAGATTGCTGATGGTGCTTACTGCATTGGTTAAATATTTGTATTTTGAGAAAAGAAAATGAATTGACTCTTTGTACATTTATCATACAAAATGTTATAATATCCGTCTTCTCCTACAACATAAACTCGTGCAAACTTTACAACTTGAAGTTTAAAGGCATCTTCTATGGCACAGGTTTTGCATTCATAATATGTTGTGTGGGTTGTTTGTTTGTTTAACGTCGCACTTAGCCGTTCATAAATGACGATGGCCTTTAAATAATCGAGCCCGGACCAGACAATCCAGGGATCAATACCATAGCAACTATCCACGCCATCGGTGAACGATGACACGCATTTAAGCAAGCCTCTGAGCCTGCCCACGCCTTACGATCGCCTTACGACTAGGAAAGGGTCCTTGTTGACTCATACACCGTCCGGGATATTATTTCTTGACTTTCTTTTAATACTCTACGAATAGAATATATTCCTCAAATATAAATTTTAATGGTCTATCTTGGATGGTAAATGAACCATCTCACTGATTAATTAGGAAAACATATTACCCATTGCACCCTACCCCTTGTTAAACCCTTATAAAGAGCAATACACGTGAATTGTCATGTTTTTTAGGTGATGTGAAAAGGGGTTTGATCCCCTGAATGCCGAGCGCCAGACAGGATAACAAGTATCTATTGACGTCTTTTGGTGTGACGCGGCCGCTCTCCGGGCGGACGCTCTACCACTAGACCACAGAGGCGGTCATCTACCATAGCGTAATGTTGAAGTGGAAACATTTTCGGGGGTTGAAGGAAGAATTGACTGATCAGTCTGCTTCATTATTGTCTCTAGCCAATTCCCTTCCACTGATTTACCCACCTGAACTAGAAACCTTAGAGTCCAGTGTAACCGCATCACGTCAATCAAGTCTGGATGAGACAAACCAGTGATTGATATCTTAATCAACGGTCCGCGCCACACGCTGGCATGGCATCAACTATGTCACGGTGTCTGAGAGAGAGAGAGAGAGAGAGAGAGAGAGAGAGAGAGAGAGAGAGAGAGAGAGAGAGAGAGAGAGAGAGAGAGAGAGAGAGAGAGAGAGAGAGAGAGAGAGAGAGAGAGAGAGAGAGAGAGAGAGAGAGAGAGAGAGATACGCATACACGTATACCTCCAACAACAAAAAACACAAGTTGGTACAGTTAATGATTATAGTTTATTTTTCCTAGCACCTAGTTTTCATTTTACAAGGATATAAACATGAAGACTCGATTAATCGAGTGAGTGTAATATGTTTCATCATCATCAATGCATGACTGAGACATACCGCATACACTAAAGCAGTGACGACGGTCGATGTCATTTCAGATCGTCATCTACCTGCTACCCTATAACATACAGTAAATATTTCTTTCAGGTAATATACGTACCTTCATCTCAGGCTTAGGGATATATGTACATAAAAGAGGTAACAGACGTTTTGCAAAATTCAGAAAACACAATAACAAAGCTGAAAGAACTCGTTAAAATTTGCACAGAGTATGAAGTATTTGTCATTTCATGTCATGGCATTTGTCATGGTGTACTGACTACAGATAGAGGATGTTTGTAGTCACATAATATAGTGACCTTTTTGAGTCAGATACAAGATGAAACAAACGCGTTATTTAACACAGAAGAAAGAAATGTATTTGTATTGAACACGTTGTCTCGAAACTCTTCGCTGTGGCCGGTCACGGTCAAGGGTATTTCCGAATTTCAACATGCTGCTTTTATGGGTGCACAATAAAAAAGGAAAAACGTCATGCATTTTCTAACTGATCTTAGTCTGAAAACAAATTGAATAGTGGCGATTTGAAGTAGTATTTTACTCGAGTGAAATATTGACGTTACCTTTTCAGAAAATATGCGCCATCATGAAATCCATATTGATTACAAGTGACATAAAAGGTATAGTATAAAGCATTGTATAGTATATAGGTTACGTGGAGATGACCACTGCGCTCACTGTGATACACAGCTGAAATAAGTCTGGCCAAAAAATGCTCCGTGGCATGCCAAATGCGCCATCTACCGGAAGTGTGACCTTGACTACTCGCGTTGTAACGCCATTTTACCAGACGACCTTGGTTGCAAAATCACGACGTATCGCTACGACTAATTGAAGCCTAAATCTTGTGATGGAGTGAGTACGCCGCTGTCAGCAATGTTCGAGCAGTATCACAACGGGGGACATAAGTAATGAATTTCTCACACGTGGTCAATGAACCTAAGGTGTGACGGGCGACTGCTGTAACCATGGCAACCTCACCGCCTCGAACGCTTGTGAGCGGGGTAGTCGTAGATACGTAGAAGGCCCTTGATGTCACGTATCGACAGTGCATCGACACAGTTTGTTTAAAACAACTCAGCAGTCCTCACAGATCAACAATTATGTCTATAAACGTACCAAATACAAGGGAATAGTGAGGGGTGTTAATATGTTACTATAAATATCCGGATACATTTACGACACTCCAGAACGACAGATTCACACTATTCTACATCGTTTTTATATTTGGGAACCGTTTATTACATCAGATTAATATAAGTCGATTGTACGATTCCGACTTTATCATGAGCATGTGTTTCTGAGTGACTATCGCTAGTGCTGACACCAGGTGTTCGCATATGCCAAAAAACAATTATGCAAATCATCATGCTGCATATTAATATTATATAATTGCATTATTTTTTATTTCATTTCATCTCGATCAAGTGCACTGTTTATTTAATTAGGAATAAGTATGTATAGTTGCAGTAATTGAGAACAAGACCGTGCACGAAATGAGAGACAGTAAATACCTTAAATTTTCTCATAAAACGAGCCCCAAATTGAGTTTTGACTGGCTCCATAGTAACACGTGTTTAAAGTATCAGTTCCATGTGTTTCAAGACGGTTTCAAATTGAAGTCTCAATTTTTCTCAATCCCTAAAATGTGAAAACACATCTTGTTTCTTTTCTTAGATAAGGCAATACCCTCTGACGTCAAAGCGCTGCGGCCCATGTCACGAGCATAAGGTGTCAGCAATAATAACCTCAGAAGTTTCACAGCGTAACATGAGCTGCAATCGACGCACATGTTTTCCTGCGCTATTTACCAGTCCCGACAAGCAAAAATGCGAGGTAATCATGTAATAGAGATTGTCACCTCATGGGTCTCTTATAACCAACCAAGCAAAACGAAAAAGAAATAACTCGTAAATAAATACAATATTAGGAATCTCGGAAGGTGTGAAGTGGGTGAGGATGTGGGGATGGACAAGTGTAGGTTTAGTCAAGTTGCTCTGTGCCAGTGTCTGAGTGAATGTTGTTTTAAGCCGAAGTCAACAGTCTTCCAGCAAGATAATGAACAAGGACACACGCCACCGGAGCACGATGACACACAATCATCCCAGTCACAACATCTTCGATTCCCCGTTTTAGTCGTCTCTTTCAGACAGGTGAATACTCGAAACCCCTAAGGGGTAACCCTGGCCAGTCAATGTTAACTATATGTTAACAGCGAAAACCTGATTAGCGACATATTTTAATCGTGAAATGTCACTCTGACAAAATAGCTTCAAGGACTTTTTCAATACTCTTCAAGGAAACTGTGTTGAAGGCATTGTCCTTTGCTTGACTATCTTGTTTCAGTATCTGTTTCCATGAGCCACAAATAGTGATTTCCTGAAGATTATACACTTTGAGTGTCTGCACACTGCATGTCTGTTGATGGGATAATGGATTTATTACGTTAAAAAAACATGTTTTCCCCAAAGGATAGGGACTACCACAAAAGAACCTGTAATTCAATATCTGTCCAATGCAGATTTTTTTTATTTTCTACTCATGACCATGTGGTTTACGGTTTTGTGACAATTGAAAACAAATTTGAAAGGCTCTTTTCAAAATTGACTTTTTATAAATCTCATTTGTCGGAAAAAGAAGTGAGGAGTAGCTGGCTGAAAATATATAGAGAGAGACCACACGCAGGGACCTTTCAGGTTTCATTGCAAACGAATATAATAACAATCTCTTGCCTGTGCCTGTTCGGCAAGGGTGGAAACTGGACCTATAAAGTCAGTTAACACCCTTGCGTCGGGAAGATGGGATGACGTGAGGTAAATGTGTTAAATGTCCCATCGTTTCATACCCACGTAGTACAATGATTACTGATACATACACGTATGTAGAGGTTAAGTAGTATCTAGATATTTCATTAATTGGGTAACTCAGATTCCGTCATTACGTCTAATTGTATCCGTTCTTCAAATTAAATGGGTTGATGTCGCTCTTGAGTGTGCGGACAAACCATTCAACAAACTCCTCACCCAAACTGTGCACCATATCCGCATCCGTTTCAAGGTCATCTATCGCCTCTGACAGAGTGTGAGGAAGAGCATTTGGTGTCGAGAATTCGTCCACAGGTGGACATTCCAGCTTCTTCACAATCCCATCAAGACCTGCAGCTATGGTTGCCGCCAGAGTGAGGTAGGGGTTGCTCATACCACTGGGAATGCGATGTTCCAGATAAGTGCCAGTTTCCGAAGACTTTAGTTTGACACAAGCCGCTCGATCATCAGTGCTCCAGAAGATAAGCCCTGGTAGGTTCGGTTTGTGCAAACGATCAAAGCAGTTGCTTGTTGGACACCATAGAGCAGACAGTGCTTTTGAATGTTTCAAAATTCCAGCCAACCAATGGTGACCTAACGGACTGAGACCATTCCGACTACCAGGGTCATGGAAGACGTTGATACCCTCGGTGACTGACCAGAGTGAATGGTTAAAATGCATTCCTATCTCTCCCTCGCTATGTTTGGACTGAAAGCTGACTATGCGATCTTTCTTATCAGCTATTTCCAAAATTCCGGTCTTGAACTTGAAGCAGGATTCTGCGCTTGTAATCCCGTATGATGGCCTCAGGACAGCTTCAAAGGTGCTCGCTTCAAATTCAGCATGAATATTTTCAATGTCAACGCCCGCAAGGTACATCTGTTTCTCAAGGTCAAACAGAAAATCGCTGTGCTTCGTTACAAGGCGTTGATTCATCAGATCACATCGCCGAGACGATTTTTGACCTGGTTTCATCAGCAGAAATTCCAATTCAAAACCAGAGAAGAAGCTGAATCCGTGGTCTGCTAGCTTCTGTAGTTGTTGTGTAGCAACGTATCGCGGACATGCCAGTTGTTTTGTCCTATCCTTCAGCCAGTAACTTTCACAGATGACGTCAGCAACCTTCACCCCGTTCTCGCTGGCCCATGGTACGGCATAGAGAGTACTAAGATCAGCTACGGCAAACGCTTTAGGAATTCGTTTGGAGTCTGGGTCGTCTATGGATATGGGGACGTCTTCATTCTTTAGATCAAATGACAAGAAACCTGTAACGATAAAGCGGAAGTTTATCCTCGATAATTATGTCATGGTGTTATAAACTCTACTCACTCACTCACTCACTCATTCACTCAGCCCGTGAAGATCCGGGGTAGAATAGGTCTTCAGCAACCCATGCTTGCCGTAAAAGGCGACTATGCTTTACGTCAGAGGCGACTAACGTGATCGGGTGGTCAGGCTCTCTGACTTGGTTGATGCATGTCATCGTATCCCGATTGTATGGATCGATGCTCAAGTTGTCAATCACCGGATTGTCTGGTCCAGACTCTGTGTGTCCAGTGTCTGTTCAGCGTATTATTTCTGGAATGAATACATTACACCCCACCACTGTTAGCACTATAATGTGTTTATAAGGTAACGTCGCATTATGTTAACGTTTCGTGCCTAAAACAAACATATAAAAAACATACATGACGCAAACATAGACCTACATATATATACGAGGGGCGTTCAATAAGTTATGCAACTTGGGCATTTGTGTTTACACAAACAATGTCAACTTGTGGCAGGTGTGACACTAGTCATAACATCAGGTTGACACGTGTTCCAAGTTGGAACCATTATTCATGAGCATCTTGGTATGTCCAAGGTATCTGCAAGATGGGTACCTAGAAACCTCAGAGCTCAAGATCGCCATCAGAGAACTGAAAGTTGTCGAGACCTCCTGGATCTCTGCACGGCTGATGAAGCCGGATTTCTTTCTCGTCTCGTGACAGGTGATGAAACATGGATCCACCCCTGGGACCCTGAAACTAAATTGGAAGCCATGCAATGGAAGCACCCCAATTCTCCGTCTCCGATGAAGTTTCGCACTCAACCATCGGCTGGCAAGGTAATGGACACCATATTTTGGGATGCAAGAGGCATATTACTGATTGATTACATGTCACCAAAAACTACAATCAATGGACAGTATAATGCTAATGTAATGAAAGAATTGCGAAAATCTAATCGCCAGAAACGCCGTGGGATGTTAACACGTGGTATTCTACTTTTGCATGACAACGCTCCAGTTCACAAGTCGAGAATTGCACAGGCCACCATATGTGAATGTGGATTCGAACAGTTAAATCACCTACCCTACAGCCCAGACTTAGCCCCCAGTGACTATTTCCTGTTCCGGCAAATGAAATCTGCCCTACGTGGAAGACGCTTCCAGGATGACGAGGACATAAAGGCAACCACTGAGGCGTGGTTAGAGGGCCAATATGCGGATTTCTATAAAAGTGGTATTAAAAGCTTGAAGCACAAATGGAATAAGTGTATTGAGGTGAATGGAGATTATATTGAAAAATAAAAGTGCAAAAGATATTCTGCGACTTGGTCTTATACTGAAGTTGCAAAACTTATTGAACGCCCCTCGTATTTGATAAACAACTCAAGGTAACCGGTAACAATACACGACACACAGCCTAAATCATGTAGCACGGAGCACAGCAGCCCGAGATACACCGCCAGGAGCATCCTTTACCTGCCGCAGTCGTCACCCGCAAGAAAATATGTAACGCGATATGTGTCTTCAACAGAAGGGTTCATAATAGCATGTCTAAATTGACGTCACTTGATGATCTAAAAACGCTACCTTGTTCATAATAGCATGTATAAATTGACGCTACCTGGTCAAACGTTTTTCATGACACTGACGTCACACTGTGACTGTGATGTCATTACGCCGTTCTGTAGTATGGCTATATGCCTGAGTACATCGCTCGTTTAATCGGAAACAAAAGGTTTTTTTTACTGAACATACGTGTACGTTAACATTAAGCGACAAAACACGATTCCAGAATCATGAAAACATCTCTACTGAAAGAAGAGACTTAGGGGCCCGACGACTGCAGTATCATTCTGACTACTGGCTACTGTGGTAAGATACCATACCAAAACTTTGACATCCGATACTCTTATACACGCAACAACAAAACTGACGTCATGACATGGCTAAAATATTGTCGATGTGACGTTAAATTTTAACTCATTCATAGGATTTGGTTAACATACATACAACATATGCAAAACCTATGATTAGTTTTATGGAGGACATGTGGAGGACATGTCCTAATTTGACAAAAATGATGTCCGATGCAAATCCCTATTTTGACTTGTACCACATGTTGCTGTGTTATTTCAGGTGAACGATTGACTTGCCTTTGCTTGTGTTTGTGGCAAGTGCCACCTGTGGGTACATTATTATGTACAGTGAGTTTGATACACTCTTGTTTTAGGCATATTTTTGTAGACTATAACACACACGCACGTCTTTCTTCAAGCATTCATCCTTGTAACGAAGGTGTTAGTATTGTTCACATTATTATGTACATTTAAACTGTTTTTTTGTCACTTATTATTACAATAACTAGATGGACTTTAATGACCATTATAGGCAAAATTTACTATTTATTAGCAAAAAAACTTAAAATAAATATGCTTATCATAACTGTTGAAAACTTGAATGTTATATTCTTTTCATATCAGCAGATTGCACATTAATACTTTGTTAAGGGGTCGACATTTTTTCATTTTGCATTCGGTTGTAAAATAAACATCAGTCAACTGTAAATTCGGAATGCCAGAGAATAACCAGTCTCGATTATCTGCTGAAACAGAGTCCATTGGGTGTAAAATGGAAATAGTAATGGAAGCTGTATTAATAGATCACTGAAAGTCAATGCTCATGATATCAAACACTGGATTGTCTGGTCCAGACTCGACAATATTGCTGAGTGCGGCGTTAAACAACAAACATACAAATCATACGACGGCGGCTTGTAAACAATCGCGTCTAGACCAGACAATCCAGTTATCAGTACCAGGAACAATGATCCACGACGTTGTGGTTGACGCCACGACGTGTGCAAGGTCTTTTTAATGGCCAGGGTATGGGGGAGAATCGCGCTTCAGCGTGTCATAGTGTCATACCTGGCCTTAATTGAAAAGCTCAACTGCAAGTAAAATGTAAGCAAGCATAAGCTTAAGATATATGGATGAACACGTGCTTGCTTGACAACGGTGTTAGAACCTACACCGAAACGTCGCTCCTAATTGTAATAAAGAAGTTGTTCATCCATATATCTTATCCTTACTTTGTACTCCAGCTAAATGCCTCTCAAAGAAATGCAAGACTTAGTAAAATGTTTCTTTCCATTAAATTTAAATAATATGTACATGCTTTGATGTACAGAAACACCTGGGATCGTAGACACCATAATATTTACAGAATAACCAACACGAAGGTCCATCGTAATAAAACATGACTGCTATTATTTACTAGTCCCTTACTCCGGCGATCTAGTCGCCAACGCCTTGTAGATTGCTAGCTTCCATTTCTATTTGCGTGGAAAAGATTTACATGTACATAAAATAATAGATTATAACCATGTCAAAAAACGGATTATTTAGGAATATATATATCGTTTGTTCAGTTTAATGAAAAATGTTTTAATGTATTAAGATACGACTACCCGGAAGACTGACATTTTTCTTATACTATTCCGATATCTATTAAGAAGCCGTTTGAAATGAATATCATATGTGTTTGATGAAATGAAATGTTTAATTTAAAGTAATGTTTCAACCATTGCTAAAAAGAAGGAAACAGTTATAGAATTCAATGTACATTTGCAGATGATTACTTGATTCACTTTTGTTAAGAACATACTTGTAAGTACCGCAATATATTGTAGACTAAATTAGCTGTATATGGAAATAAAAGTGACAAAACCCTTTCCATAGTGATAAGAAATTTCTTCTAAAAGCTGAGTCCATTGTACGATTCCGATTATATCATGAGCATGTCTTTATGAATCACAAATAGTGATGACACCAGGTGTTCGCGAAAAGGTAAGTGTATCCAGCCCCACCGATGGCACCCGTCACAAACACATGCAAAATCAAGTCAATCATGCACTTGCAAAAACACCAAACACCATAGTATTACCCACAGAACGACAGAGCCACAGAAAGTTGAGAAATATGAAACATATGTAAACTTACCTCCATATAGAGTTATGCCTGTCTCCAGAAACTTCTTTACGTGTCTTGCAGGAATCACTCTTCCTCGGGATCGTCCATGTATGTCTCCCACAGAAAAGCGAACATAGTCGTACTTGTCAATGTCTGACATGGTCGGTGGATTTTACCTGAAGTAGACGGCAAACCTCCTTCCGCTTTGTGCTCTGATGCCTGGAGCCTGGGCAATTTATGTTGTGCTCACATGACATACTCCATGGGATCTGGTTACTGACACTATAAACAGTTGCAGCCCGTAATTCATACAGCATTTTTTCTGTTTACCAAAACGAGTTTTATTTATTTAATTTGTTTATGGATCCGTGGATCCAAAGGGACGAGGAAGGCTTAGTCCACTAAATACCTTGTTTTTCCACACGGGCAGTGGATGGACAGAGACAAATGGTATTTTTGGGATATCATCTTCTGGACAGACGATTTACTGAAGTACACAGAGCTGCTACCTGGCTGCTCGTTTAAAGACATTATACATCCATCATGTTTCACTGACCGGGAGTTAGGTCGTAAAAACCTACAGTTGTACATGTCTAGTGGATTAAACGTAACAGGCGATAGACAGAACTGGACAAGGTCCACTATGCAGTAACTTGTACACAAATTGCTTATTTCATCCACCTTGTAGATGGAAGCGACAAAACCATTTCTATAATCATAAGACATCTCTGCTTAAAGTTCGCTGTACTAACACGGCGCCGTGGTTGCTTGTGTTTGTGACGGGTGCCACCGGTGGGTCAGGATACACTCCGCAAACATATGACATCATCACTATTTAAAAGGTATTCATAAACACATGCTTATGATATAGTCGACATCGTACAGTTGACTGTATTTCTTAATGATTATGGAAATAGTTTTACCTTTGTGTAAATCAGTCTCTCGAAAACCTTCAACATCCATCTTTTGGACGCATTTTAGCATTACCTATATATTTAGTATTGTTATGTCTACAAAGCATGCACGTGAGAAAATTAACAAAGTTTTAATTTAATTCATATGAACACATCTCATAACGTTCAAATTGTTTTTTAAGTTTCCTCTTTTTTTCTTAAGCTATGGATATCTCGTTCTTAGAATTTAAAAACAATAAAGTATATCAGTCTTTTTCTTTTTATTCTCAGTTTGATTCATTTTGGTATGAAAAATAGCCAAAGTAGAAGAACACCAAGACAAGACCGACAATTAGTTTTTTGCCTTTATTTTCTGACGAAATCCATAAGCCGTGAAAACTAACCGACTATCGACTCCGACAGACTTGAACAAGAAAAAATGTAATATAGCTGTTCAGGCAAGAATAGGTCAGCCGTGACTATAGTCGCGCAAAGGTTCAACCGAAGTTCAAGGACCGAGTATACTGGTTAAGTGCTTGTCCGCCCAAGAGGGCAATGACATTTAGTATATTTTGTCATATCGACCGTTTCAGGACAACCCTTGTCTCAGTGAACATTCATATTTAATTCCAAAGGCGAATTACCATATATCCATGCCATGTAATATTCGGTAAGAATCACTTTATTGTCATTTCTTATAAGATGCAAATACCTGCTGAATTAATCCTCATCACAATTGTAACTATGTCGCTTCTAATTGACTAATGTTGTTGATAGTTATTAGTTTATTTCAAAAACTTTTAAAAAAACCACCTTGTGATTTCAAGAAAATAATTCGAATAAAGAGAACAGAAATCGAAATTTCGAGATTTTGAAATAAACTTCAAATAACGAGAAATTACGAAAAATAATCGAAATAACGATGAAATAATCGAAATAGCGAGAAAAATATCGAAATTTCGAGTAGTATGAGATGTACTTGAAATAACGAGAAAAAATATTCGAAGTAACGAGAAAAAACTTGTTATTTCGAGAAAATACTTGAAATAACTGGAAAATAATCGAATTTACGAGAAAGAACTCGTAATTTCGAGAAAATATTTGAAACAGCGAGTAAGTTTGATTTAAAAATAATATTGCTACCAACAGCTGTTTTCTTTCAGTTTTGAATTTGTGTTAATTCTTTTACAATGCCATATTAAAACATGTCAGTAAGATAAATTCGTTGTCACAAGATCACTCGTGGTACATGGGGTTTAATGCGTCCGGTGTTAGGTTTTTTACCACGTGGACGCATAAAAACCCCATGTACCCATCATGATCCTGATAGAACTAATATTATACTGTCGTAACTGCTTTCGGGTGTCAAGTGGGAAATGTATTGCCGTTCCTTGTCATCATGGTCAGTTAAGCCATGACTTTGCAACTCGCCTTGTCAGCATCGGCTCATCTCAGTCAAGGAGTGATTGGTCTAACGACGCTTACTCCGAATTGTCTCCATCAGCATTTATACTCGCACAATAAAGAAACGCAACACCAGCTTTATACTCACATTAGTTTTACTTACACTCAGCCATCTATCAATACAGGATAGGATCAGACCGACCAGACTCGTCACCAAATGGGGAGATCTTAGAACGATCGGGATTCGACTCGATCGATAACAAACCGCGCTCTCCTCTCCTAATAATGACGGTATCATTTTATAGTGTTGGGGCGTGGCCTGTCTTTGTCACATGTCCTCGAATATCATTTTAATTGGTTAAAAACAGTATCAGACCATGAGCTCGTGTTTGTGTCGTGATTTGAAAATTACCGGAACCTAGTGACCAATTAAAAGATGTCTATTGATTAATTAGCGGAAACACCACCGAAGCTATCCCGAAATATCCTGCCACTGTCATCGCTCTATTGATTTCCTGCTTGTTTGCGCCGACACTTCGTCTTTCCGTCTCCATCGTTTTTAAAGCTATAACCATCAATTTAAAGGTTGATTTTGTCATAATTCTCTAAGGTTTTTGGATGCATTTTTACGTTATAACATCCTCCGCCTGGGGACAAGAGCTGTCCACAACTCGGATGGAGTTAACACAAGGCCAGGTCTGATATGTTAAAATACAATCACAACAAACACAATAGAAGTAAAACAGGATCGATCATTCTATATATTAAATTATAACCAATTAAAAAAATTGTTAAATATCCGGAAAACAGCGAATACTCTAACAGTCAAATATTATTTACATGCTATAGCATAAGAGAAATGATCCTATGTTACTTCGTATAACCACAAAGCATAATCGTTACAACAATACCATGCTATTTGGTGGGACAGCATTCGCTCACCTTTTCGCGTACGCCTAGCATCCCCAAAACTTGACATAAATTCATAAACACATCCTGATACAGTCGGAATCGTACAAGGGACTGCTTTCAGTAGATATTTCTTATGAATATGGGAAGGGTTTATCGCTTTTATGTACATAACATTGACATAAAACTCCTTGACATAACCAGAACCGTAGAGAAGAAGATGTTAAACTTAGACCAGTATTTGTCAGCGTATCTTTGATTTTCATAAGATGTCGTGGAAATTCGAGAAATTATTCAGAAAACAATGTTCTATTTGGAACACCGACAAGTACAGATGAACATCCTTGCTCTCGGACGCCTTGTACTATCACCACAACATTGCTCGTATACCTTAGGACACACTTACATCGTGCAGTTCAGTTACTAGGACATTACAATAAGGAGCTGTGGCGCTATACTAGTTATACTGGTATATGAACATAAAATCGTTGTGATTATGAATATCCCAATACCAAACATTAATTATATGAAGTTTAAGAAAAACATTATTTACCCACGAAACATGTCGATGCCGACTATATCATAAGTATGTTTCTATGAATCACTACACAATAGTAATGATAGCAGGTGTTCGCGAAAAGGTGGGCGTATCCTGCCCCACGGTTGGTACACGTCAAAACCACATGCAAAGGCAAGTCAATTGTACATCTGAATATCGCTCGACAAAAAGGGAAATGTCAGTTTATATTAATGTTATGTGTGGTCATAACGAGGTTGTAAAAAACAGATCGACGGATCAGACACAGTAAATATAATTGTGAGGAAACGACAATGCCTAATTTCATTTTCTAATGTAAAGTTTTTTCTTTTAATCACAATACAATTAATCTACTGGTGTGAATACTTTATAACGATGTGCCTATGATACATGTTGGTTGTATCAGAATATATATAGTCATACATGGAAATGAGTTGCTGTTGAGTGTTCAGGAATCTTTTAACCTATATTTACACCTATTTGTCTTTGGACACTTACTGTCGTGAATGTTGTCTTTGAGAAAATTATCTCACGAAATGAAATAAGGAGACACTAGATATCTCATTGTAATGTTTTTATGTGACGCATATGTTGTGATAAACGGACTGCTGCGATAGGTGTTACATAAGCATTTTCTTTTTTCATAACTTGTAAACATGATACTTCGTAGAATAATGGAAGCATCCAGGTCAGTAGTCACCAAGGTCATTGCTTTATATATGATATTTTATTAAGTAACTGAACATATTAAAGCAGATCATGTCAGTCACTGCATAAATATTAAACGTCAAGGCCAGGGAAGGCCAGTCTCGATTATACCACAAGAAGATTCCATTTGGCGTAAAAAGCAATATAGGGGTGATACTTATATGAATGGCTCACTGACAATCAGTAATAACACCAGGTGTCTTAGATAAGGGAAAGCATGTGAGGCCCTACCAGTAGCAGCCGCCACTTAAACAATTTGCATTAAAAGTACTTTTTCGTTCCTTAAAGGAATCTGATTCCACGTAAATCGTTACGTTACGCTACTAGCCTTCCACTTTACATTTTCCCCAAACCATTTACCAATAACACGTGTAGCAGAACAGACAAATGTACACTGCTGTCTATACTGTTCTTGTTTTGAAGCCAGTACGTAATATCCCTTCTATGTAATGGCTGCCTGTAAATAATCAGGAATAAAAGTGTTCGCTTTGACGGTCAACGAGCAAAACCGTCGGGGTACGATGAAACGGGGTAAATATAAAAAAAAGCCAGAGAATATCAGTCTCGATTATCAGCCGAAACAGATTCCATTGGCCGTAAAAGGCAAAATGGTGAACATTTTATGAATGGATCCCTGAAAATCAGTGATGGCACCGCTAAATGATGGCATCGCTAAAAGGGTAAACATGCCCCGCTCTACCGCAAGCACAATTTGATGAAACAAGTTTGTGTTTGTTTCATGACAGTACTCCTGCCACACGACGGCAACCTGTACATTAGCCACGTTATACATTCACAATATACTCGT